ATATAGGTATATGTGTGTGTGTGTTGAATAGCTTAAAAACGATTTTAACGATTTCTGTCGTCGTTCGCGTCGGCTCAACAAGAGAACAGTGTGGTTAGCACGAGGTCTCTAAAAAAATGTGTGTGATAAAAATCACAAATGAACGTAAAATGCTCTTCTTAAATCGTTAATGAATCGAGGTTAGCTTCTTGAGCTATTATCGATAGGTATACAACAAAATTTAAAAAGTATTTTGTCGATACGCGCACGATCTCAACGGTTTCATTCAAGAGAACAGGAAAATCCAAAAAAATAGTTTTTTTTTTTTTAGAAAATTTAGATCTTTTTTTGTTGTTTGCTTGCTCTGCTTCAGGAACGCTGCAACGTTTGTAGGGTTTGGAAGTTCAGTCAGTTTTAACTTTACATAGCGGAATACACAAGATGATGATGTCATGGATCAATAATCGCACGATAACGATGACGATGATATTATTACATTAAAAGTACGAACGAGTTGATGCTGGTAAGTGAGACTTCTGCTATAGGGCCAAAGGATAGCAAAACATGTAGTTCGATTATTTCAATGAGAATAACCGAAGTAGGCCTGTGGGGCTAGTACAACAATTTTTACGCAGGAACAATTTGAACAATGGAGTAAGCTCATTGATGTTATACATACAAAATTATAGTTTATGCGTACTTGAAAAGATGCTAAGTAAATGCTAATTACCATTAACCAGGCCATATTGTTTATAGCAATATATATAATAGAGCATATTATAATATTAATAGGGTAAAACCTGTTGTATAAAGATAAGACAATGTTTGCAATTATCACCTCGTATATGTTATCGCAAGTATCTGTGCTAGCTACTAAGAACTACATCATATTCGCACGCTGCTATAGCTTTGGCAGAATTCAAGTGATCATTTCCTTCTTCTGCTGCCACTCGAAGCTTCTGTGGCTTCGGAATATGCTCGTATGTGTCGTTTACGTGTTTGTTAGCTACTACAGAACGGAACGTTGCCGTTATGTAACCTTTGCCCAGTTACTACGACCGCATGCGAGTTGTATAAAAACTTCGTCACAACTAACACTTAGGACTCTACCTGCATGCTCATTACGGTCTTTGCGCGTGTTGGCGCGCGAAGCGCCGCTTTGATTGAGAAACTGAGAACATTTGCCTGTGAAAGGGTTTCTTTCCGATATCTTTGAAATCGCACTCACGTGACCCTTTTTTGTCGTTGTTAAAAGCATCTTACGGTTAGGTGCAAGTACTACGACTGACGTACTATGCATTGATGCCCAAGAACTTCACAGCTGTATTGGCAAATGTGTAATTTAAAATCGACTTTAGGTGCTTGCTTTATTTACTTGTCTGATGCCTGTAGATTCTTTTGTGTTGATCGGTGTAGCGTACATCACCGCATGTACGTTCCGGCCTCAGAGAAACACCGCAAAAACTGCTTTGTAGTTTACCTTTATTATCGTCTCCTTCAATGCCTCTGTCGTTTCTTCCAACCGGCACTCTCAGCAGGCGACGCCCTAAGGCTCTGTCCGAGTTTTTTCATACTTAACTGTTAACCATGACTCAAAAAGAATTATTCGATTAACACTTCCTAGCAGTAAACCTAAGTAACGCTAAAATTGTGCGGCTGTACGACTCAAATGGCTTGAAGATGGTATTGTTTCTGCGAGCAATAGAGCTATCGTCAATGGACTGAGACTTCAAGCTTCATTGTCGACTCATTGTAGTGAACAACAACAACAACGAAAGGAAATACAAATTAGAGTCGTATACAGTTTGTAACACACAGATCAAATAGTCAGACGTATAAAGCCCGCGAGCAGCTTTTATGTTAGACGTAAAGTTAGAATTTTTCAAAAATCTTTAAAACGTTCGTTCTTTTAAAGTACATGAGGAATTTTAGTTACTTGAAATGAAGTTTAAAATCTCTAAAAGTTATTAATATTTAAAATAAATCTCTGATAATAAGTTCTAGGCTGTTATCGCGCACTTTTAATACATCTCGTGCTGATCAATGCAGTGTTATGATAGTATACTAATGATACCCCGTGCTGGTACGGTGGTAACGTGCTTGCCCACTGAACCTAGAACCATGTAATGGTTGAGTCTCGAAACTGGACGCTGATAACGGTGCGTTTTATGCTAGAAGGAGTCAAGCCCTTAAAACAACACTTAATGCTAGTATCAGACACAAAATTCGAAGCAGCTATTTAGGGGTAAAAGCTAGGGTCAGAAAGCAGCTACAAATTCTAGGAGGGCCACCAGCAAAAGGGGTATCATTCAATATCTAAATACTATCCTAAAGGGAACAAGAAACAAGTGTAGGCATCTATTGGGTAGTTTGCGGTAGCGAAAAGGTTCTACCTGATTTGACATTCGTTAACCGATAATCGTGTAAACATTCGATAACCTCATAGTACGATGAGGCCTATCAAAATTTTAGCCCCTATTATTATATATATATATATAATTATAATATATATAATTATAAAGTAGACGCGCATGACAGTTTTGTCCCCATTTTCTTTTAAGTTTAAGTCACAAAATTACGTAGTTACTGAGGCGTGCGTCATCTGGAAAATAGTAGATCTCAGGCAGTTGCTCCGTGTGCCCGACAGATTTCGATTCAGTCAAACCGAGATTGGTGTCAAATATTAAAAAAAAATTTTACTATACACAAGTAAAAAGTCTTCCATTGGCCCGCCCTATTCGTTTGTACTATTCTGTCGACCCACCTGCGCTTCTCTAAAAAAAAAAAACTGTTAAAAAATGTGTCTTAAATTGGTCTCACATGCGTTTTGACTGTCGCCTGCTTTCTGTTGGCGTTTTGGTAGCATGAACGCGTATCGTATTCACAGTACCTGTGAGGCCGGTTATCGTATTCCGTAGACTAATAGCGAGAGCCTTTCTTTAGACTAGCGGTCGATTGTAGGCGAATTATAATGGTTGTCTAAATTTTATCAAAAAATTGCCATTCTTTCGCTATACGATGATAAGAAACAACGAATCGCCACCATTTGCTGCGACCTTAGTTATATTCCATACTATTTTTTGCGTAATCCATATTCCCTTGACAATCCGTATTGACACTTCTTTTAGACCAGTCTACGTGTTTTAACCTCTTGTCGACTACGTTTATTATGATGTTAACGTTGTTTCTAATTAGTAGTTTCATACTGTGATATGTAAGCTGCCAGGTAGCCGCTAATGGACAACATCGATTTAGATATCGTCGCCCTGAAAGCTATTACTGCTGAAGCGCGCATTTATTTCGTTTGTGACGCGTGCCACACTCGTACTAGTGGAGCACGCAACGGTATATTACGACAACGGTATATTACGACAACGGTATATTACGACAACGGTATATTACGACAACGGTATATTACGACAACGGTATATTACGACAACGGTATACTACGACAACGGTATACTACGACAATAGTGGTGGATACCACTCAATCAGCGTTTGCATCTATTTTGCTACCTCTCATCAACTTAAAACCTACTAGCACCCTACCGTTTTTCTCCGTCAATCTTCCTACTGACATTTGACGTCTCCAGCGGTCTGCCGGTCACAGATTGAATGTATCCCTCGCGTCGGGAAAGACTCAATAGCAGAGTAGACTTGAATATCTATATCGAATCGGCAGCCAGCACTTTGATTATGTCATTGCAGTATTGGAAACATTATTCATTTATATATCTTTACGACCCACGGTCGACGTGGCTATCTCGATGGTAACGAGATTAATGGCGACTATCCAATCTTCCGTAGCTACATGTTACCGAACAAAGGTTGTCCAAGGCCCAAAGAGAATCGCGGAACGTGCAAAATCAGAAAATATACAAACTATAATGTCGCTCTGTTTACTTTCACCGACTTCATAGGTTCATTATCTGGTCCAGATGTCAGCAAACCGTAAGAAGTAAGCCTTAACCATAACCAGTACTTGAACCCCCGCTGGTTGTGCAACACGCTCTTAGCGAAAACCTTCCGAGCGCGTCCGAAGCTTTATCAAAAGATCGTTTCACATAGCAGTCACGTGTGTCAATGCGCGCTTACGTCATCTGAACAAACAATCCGAGTGCATATAAGTATAGGGTTACCTGCCATCGTTGTAAATATTTCGGTCAATGTATTATACGTATTCAATGCCATAGAAGCCGGTACATGCTCTGTATTTCTTATGCGTGCGTGAGTAGCGATCAACTTGATATTCTAACCGTTTAGGTTGGAGCCGCTGGGTCAGTTATATGGGCACAAAATCAGGTTGACTGCTACTTAGGAACGCCATCACGTAGAAGCTAACGGAACACAGAGAAGATGGCTGCTGCTACTGTCGTCGCCGTAATTCCGCCATAGATAGATATATTTACAGCGCTATAACAACGCCACTGGCTCCACGTGATACAAAAGATTTGATAATGACAGTTTATAGATTTATAGGAATGGTCAGGACGCAACATTAGGCTGAATAAACAGGTCCGCAGTATATAAAGTGCACCGAAAGGCTATTTTTATTTTTGTAACTTGTCGAACAGGGCTCAACTTACTTTGCCAAAATCGCAACGCGTTTATAATCACCAGGAAGACAGTAACGTTTTTTTTTTTTGGAAAACATGGCTGAAAATACATCATTGACAGGCAAATATACATATATTATGACGGATTTTAAAGAAAGGAATGTTAACAATTATAGATATAGAAATATGTAGAATAATACTTCTGTCAGATAAACGAATACCTAAACCTAGTCTTGGCAATTGTCTCTAAAATTCTATCTAAATGAAAATAAATATTGCATGAAAATTTTCTGCATTACACAACCTCAATTCGAAACCTAAACCGGGTACTAGGCATTTTCAAAGTACTTCTTCTTTAATCGATATAAGCTTTCAAGTGCTACTATAAATGATTCCTATGACTATAAATGATCCTAGTTAAATGTTAAGTATCTCACGAAACGAAAGATAGAAGTGAGATTAGAAAGTTCCGAGAAATCTGACCGTTGAAATTTACCCGTAGACCCGTATTAAAAATGAACATACTAAACGACCTATTTAGGTTGAGTTAAAGAATACTACCAAAAGTGAAGCCACTTAGGTGAATTTTCAAGCTTTTTTTTTTTTAAATCTAAGCTTTTATTCAGGTTCGTCTCATGAAAATGCTCTCTCGATTTCTTAGTAAGGAAAACGCATGAAAGCTGGCAATAGCGCCGATTGTTGACTTCGGACAAAGAAGAAAGCTTTAAATCTTGGTGGGGTTTCGTGTACCGACAATCCATGCTAGTCCGCCTTTACTACTCAAACTGCAAAAAACGATGCACAGCCTTCCGTCACGAAAAGCCATTTGCCATTTTGCTTTAGCGGGAACTGTTTTTTCCTCAATACTAAAGGCAGCGGTTGAGTTGATGCCTGTCATATTAAACAGCCTGACAAAGTGTTTTCGAAACTTAATGTATGAAAGACAAAACAAGTTATGCTTATATTCCTTATGTACATATACTATACATCATCATGGTTTCATCTAAGTCCTTTCGTTGATAAAGATGCAAACTTTGAAGCTGGTCCAAGTACCGCCAACAGTTGCAATTACAATGTAGTAGAATCGCGGATTTGTTAGCGGGATTATTTTCAACAGCCGAGCTGATAACGAACACGCTATGAAGATCAACTATTTATATATCGTATGCTTTGTACGCGGTTATTCAAGCATACAAACACAATCACCAAGAGAATGGTTAACTCTATTATCAAATATAAAGATCGCAAAACATCTGCTAGGTATAGAGATCGGTGATAAGGTGAGAGATAAAATTATATGTTGCGGATCCGTCGTCTCGACTGCCAGCATCTCCCACCCTTTTTTGATCGACATTCGTTATCTGCCGATTGGACAGACTTGCTCTCTTTCAATACTATTTGAAAAGTTCGTCTTATCACAAATCTCAAGTCATCACAGATATTTCCCGAGTAAGCTCTCTAATAACGACACAAAAGTTCCGAGATCGTCAGACCTGGCTTTTCGTTGTTTGATCTCCCATAATGGCGTATTGAAATATTCCCTTTCGGCTGCAACAGCGGAATGAACCGTCGGCTACATGCTGAAGATAACTGTCATAATTCCAAAAGCAACATACGTAGTTCCGCCGTGGTAAGCTTGCTTTGACTTTTTTTCCAGGGCCAAGGATACGCGCGGAACAGCACGTGCCCGATACGGGAAACACAAAAGCGCGTCAGATTGTATTGTTCGAAGCATCATCGGGGCAAAACGGCAAAACCTGATAGAGAAGGGAACAGGATTCTTGTGGAAAATGGATGAAGATCTGACCAGTCCACTTCCAGCTAGTTTCAAGCTTTTCGTGTACAATCCCTATAACATAGATGAGACAGGCCCTTGTAATTATGTTTGTATAGAAGAAGGAATGCCATTAAATAATTCTATATTTAAATTCTGGTTTTTATGTAGTACATTTCACTAGATTGTTACCAACGCCTATTCAGTATGCAACATTAAGTGTAATTATAATCAATCCTAAAGATGACTAATTTGTGAGAAATTATTCAGATTTTTTACAGTATTGTTACAATTAATTTACGGCTCGTCACTGTATAATCTATAAGTAACTATATTACCGAAACCTATTCATAATAAGCAGAGTAGCGTGTCCTTACAATATCCGTTGATCGCATAACGTTTCATTTACCGCAGTACTGTTAGAAATCACAATTAGACGCAAGACGTCGATCTAAAGAGGGGGCGTACCGCGCTTTGCGCAAGCAAACTACGTATAAAAGTATTCTCAGACCATTAAAAGCATTAGATATATTAACTGTAGGGGAATTTTTCCCGTCCATATATTTATTTTACAAAGTAGCCGCCCGCTTCGTTACACTGAGCTTATGGCAACCCAGTCGTGGAACTCTGCTTGAGTTTCCGCAATCCACGGCTGCCTCATAGGAACACCCCTTGACGGACGAAGTCTCGTCATGGTGTCCAGTAACACGATGAGCGTTGTGTTTATTTCCGATGTGGTTCTAGGCGCAGGTGTACCGCTGATGCCCCTTTTGAACGTTTTTTAATCGCCGGATAAACTTTATTAGGAAGTATAAAAATAATATAGCTTTTAAATTGTTTCAATTGAATTACGTTATATCAATATACTTAATGAAACGGAAAGCCTGCTATATAGTTGGAGTACGCTTGTATAAGATGTTAGACATTTTCATAGGATTACCGTCTTGACAGGATCTCGAATCCACGCTTACTTCCCGCAGTGATAATGCATCATAACACACTGCCACAAAGCAATACTTCTAGCGGGCACTGCTTGTAACAAATGTGATTAGTTCAATGGCATGAAGGTTAGACGCCGAACAAAATGGCAGTTGAGCTAATCTTGAACAAAGAATTCAATGTCAAGGATAAAAACTAAAGGCACACATCCATGAGTGCAAATCCATATACATCGCTAATCTTGACCAGTCATGTCATCATCAGGAAATTTCATATAATGACAGTCCACTGACTGTATAAAGCTTCCTAACTTGGTATCATTGGAAACGATTCGTTATCAGACCTATACGCGTAAGGCTGTGCGATGATTACACTCAGGGTTTTACTTACGACTGGATAATATAAAGTTGCTAGGCCAGCTAAGTATCTACGGTTTTGGATGGGTGATATCTCATGAACAAAAAATAACTTCGGGAGGCGATAGTTGTGCCTTTATATCCAAGGGGATATGATTCTGGGCGATCATGGAAGCAAAAGTTACCAAGACCGCAATTTCTCCAAGCGCAAGCAAGATAACTTCGCGAGTTTATGTAGATGCCTGATTCCAGCTTGCAACGCCTATAGGACGTTTTATGAAAGAAAAATAGAATGCACAAGAGAAATTGATATAAAAAAGGATAAGTCGGTAACAGAATCCGTTTTCTCCTTAATTCTTATTACAGAAAGTGGTAATAACCTGACGCTAACTACTTAACCACCTTCTCTAGACCCTTTAAGTAAGGATCCTTGCCGGACCTTCAAGTTCTTGGAAAAAAGAGCGTAGTTGATTTTTTGGCTAGTCCTTTACATATGACACATCGTCGTAGTTCGACGAGATCAGCTTGTATTCGACGGTCACCCATAGTCGGCTTCTGCTAAGTAAATCGACTAAGAATAATCTTCTACTTTCTTTATACACGTTATATTGCTTCAATGTGATGACAATTCGCTCCAGATCTTAAATTTTATATTGCCTCTAGGGGCATAGACTTGGATTTACTTCTGTAAGAACAGTAGCGGCAAAGAAAGAAATTATGGTCAAAATGGTGTTTGATAAAATTATCTTGAAGTGTATGTTTCTTAATAAATCAGCTTGACCAAACGGTAAATCGGTGTTATTCTCAAAATACCCCCCACAACGCTACGCGCCAGTACTCGTAGAGTACTTATATGTAAATGAGCTTTCGGAAGTAGCTATTGGAGCATCAAGTAAGCGGCCTGCCGTCTCGTGACTTAGAAACCAGATAGGCCGTTTTATTTAGGTCAGCTCTTTCGTTTAGCTCGAAGCTTGCATCTGAGATTATGAAGCGATCAAAGAAAACCATATTGTCAGGCAAAATCTCATTGATACATTTCAACAGCAGCTTTTACATGTTGTGCCGTTTCATTTTCCCTAATTTCCTATGGCGTAAGATTAGGGGATCATATCAATAATTTATCGTAAGTGACGTTTGTCCTATAATACACTGTTCAATAAATCATTAACCCGCTAAAGACTAGTCGAAGTTAAAATGCTTAAGGATGATTTCAACACAAATAATATTGCTAATTTATTTTTTCTATATAAATAATTGGAAACAAACGTGTACGTGTCCAAATAAACATTTGCAAAAACACGTTGTTGTTGAAGCGCCACGAGCATAATGGTAAACCAATCAGCTTATCGTCTCCTACTTGTTTTTGGATTTGTTTGTCGTCCTTTCAAGTGCATCTCGCTGCATATATATATATATATATATATATATATATATATATATATATATTTTCAACAAGAGAAAAGAAGGCGTACTTTTCTTTCGAGTTGCTCATGATTCGGGGCGTTCAATGGATAGCTTCTCTATCTGCTCTCATAATTATTTAACTCAATTGCGTTAGCTGTGAGCGATCTACTTTAAAGATTTCCCCCGCGGAGCCGAACTCGAGGCACAAAGCTGATAAGCAATGCTGTGAAAATTCGGCTGCCAAACAAACTTTGATCGGTTGCGGGGCTGCTTAAACGTGGATCGACATGATCTGCTTGCTAGTCATCTTTTGTGCGCGACCTTCTAAGTATCATAAATTCCCAAAGTGATTCTATAAAAGACGGTAAACAAACAGTAGAACCGAATTTCTTGTTTAGTTATTAATGGCCACATATAATAGTATTTTGCTAATTTTTTAATTATGTGGCTATGGGTTATGCGTCTATTACTTCAACACGTTCACGCTGACATAATATTTCTAATTTAAATGAGGCAACATATGTACCGATTTTATCGTTTGGGCATCTCATGTGCCCAGGTCACGCCGTCCACGAATAAGCCGTGCAGCATAAAATTACTTCTAAACATCCCCTATGCTTATTTTTTTTAGTTTCAAACAATAAATATTTTGAATTTTATCTCCGGATGCCACAATAATGTTACCCTTTATAATCTAGGGTAGTTTGACTGAACGTTTGCTCAACATTCTATAGAATCGTTTTAATAAAATCATGTGTTAATTTTTCTGGAAAAATCAAAACATAACGACTTTATTAGCATTACAGTTCTAGATTCCTTCTGACCTTCCATGTGCCTTTGCCGTGACACATAAAGATCCGTTTGTAGAGAAATCGAACCCTAAAGGTAAACAGTTTCAAAGGTACTCACTTTTTAGATGAAAGTTTGGCAGATAAAGAACAAACTCACTATGTATGCACTAATTAAAACCATCGTAGGCTCTGTCCGCTTTCGCAGGCACCGAGCTTATCAAATTGATTCTCGCTAGACTTGTTATAAAAGTGGTCGTAGACAGAATCCTTATGAAGAATAATAATAATAATGACGACAATGGTGATGATGACTTACAAACAAGCCAGGAACGATTCTACAGTAATTTAATTAATGCTTCAAGTTCCAGAAAAATTTGTGATTCGGTATAGCTGGTACATGTGCGTCATGCTTAGGCCGGATGTGATGACATTAACGTAAGAGATTCTTTATATGTCTTCTTCAGCGAGCAGCATTTGGTTAAGGAATCCCTCGCATCTGTAGCCGTGCTAGATTACTTACTATAGTTCTCGAAAGAACTATACATCAGATAGCAAATGGATGCGGATAGGCGTCCCCACGCACTTGACTATAAACGCTAGTTTTTGTAGGTTAAAATTTGGCGCCATTGTGCCAGGTTTGCTCACGACACATTTTCGTCTAATTTTTACCTAGAGTTCATAGTTTTTTTCCTCCATAACTCGAATAATTATGCTATTGAGTGTACATTCAGTAAATAAGTTACGCTAGACTGTTCGAATATGCTATTTATGGCCAACGATATATTAGCTTGAATGACTTGATTCACTCCCAATAGGCTGTAGTTAGCTAGTAAAAATCTTTAATCTAGCAAGCAAATTTGTCGTTGTTGTTTTTCTTTTCAAAGCAGATACACTATAATTCAAATGTTTAAAAAAACCAAAAATAAGAAATATGCCTCTAAACAATGTTTCCAAAATAACGCCATAAAATAAGACTATCAGTATCGTCATCAGCTTTCAAAATTTTTAGGCCCTTTAGTTTCAGCCGCAATACACAATCACCATTTTCTTTGCATTTTGTGCTGACCAGCTATTAGTCTTAGGTATCTTGTTTAGTTTTACGCCAGCCGTTCTACTGCTTTACCCATACGTGGAAAATAGCCTTAAAGGCTTTTCATACACTCTATATACTGTGTTTATATGGTTCGGCCTTATCATAAGAGAGTCGTTTTTGTTCAAGTCTGAAACCTCTCAGCACCACTACGGCGTTTTGCTAAATGTATTTTTCATTCGTGTGAATTCGCTTTATTGATGGTACCAAAGTTACAAATAGCAGCCGAGGGTGCGAACCTGATAGCAAAAAACCTGGCTAGGTTTTCGATGAAATTTAAGCATTTCAACATATTGACGATAATTAATTTCGTTAGCCCGAGCTACGCAACATTGTTTGTGACTTTTCTTATATTGTTACAGCCGCACATGTACTTTCATTTGGCTGTTTTTTTTTTTTGCCTCAAATTGATAAGCCAATGTCTGCCCAGAAATAAAGCTGTAGCAAGTATTTGCGTTACGATCCTAACACGACTAAAGATGATAATTTGCCGTCCCATTTATCTTGCCTAGTGAAGCAGCATAAAATTGCTCAAAACTTTTAAAAATAATCATACATCTCAAATGTGCCTTTTTGAATGTAATTGCTGCAAAAATCAGTGTTTGTTTGACTGTATTACTAATAGCTAGAACGCTCCTTAATAAGGTCTTTTTTCGGCCGACCCTCGACCCGATATGCACGCTTAGCGTTCACATTTATCTGAGCATGTTGCGGAGGGTGCTGTTTCAAGCGGAGCGCTGAGCTAACATAGTACCAAAAAAAAAAAAACCTTTTTTCCTGCGGCACAAAGTGCTAGCAGGTCCGGAAAGTGAATCGTAGTCTTACTTTAATAAGTACTACTTCAACGTAACAAGCTGGAAGCGAGCCCTACTATGAACTCTGATGATATTTAAAGCTTACTCAATCTACAGATGATAGTGCATAAACCTATTTATTGTCTTACCACCTCAATAAATTGACCTAGAAAAAATTATCTCTATTATTTATTTATCGTTGGCTATGTTATATTCGCATGTCTGTGGTTCGCTACTCATCGGAGACTAAATCTGTAAACTCGTGCGTTGTTTTTGGAGTTCATTGCTCCTCCTAGACTAATTCGTCTCGTGCTCTAACCTTCCACCATTTTCTGTGTTATTACGGGTTGTTGCAAAAAAGCAGCGTTGAAACCCTAGAAAAACTTTTCGCTTTTCTTCCCATTCAATCTATCAATATTTGCACAGATTTCTAGTGGAATTTTGCTCTGGCTCTCGATGGGGCGATTTCGTAGAGAATTGTCGTAACCAACTTAATCGTCACTAATTGATTGTTCATCACAAATATCTGTTTACAATCCTAGGACACTTGGTAGAAGCTGGTTTGGAATAGATATCGAAAACTGAGCGTTGTAATAGCAGCGTTGACTGATCGTTCATTGTATTAGCGAAGTTACCAGCGTACTTCCGTTAAAACCCGTGTAGCACCTACACAAAACTAGCCCAAGGTATCAGTTGTAAGCAAATTATATTGCCCTTTGAATATAATTAAATTACTAGCATTTCGAAGCAAGCAGAGCTATTGCAGAGCAATATCGATTAATACCTGTAAATAATCGTGATAAATAAACGTGACAAAATAAATCTACACATATACATGTCATTAGCGGGATTTAAAGCAACGATTCCTATTCTCTCTCCAATTGCGAATAAAGTATCTTTTATAATCAGGCAAGAAAAAAAATGGCTCTTGAGTATCAGACTAGAGTTATTACTAGCGATGATAGAAGGTAAACGGCTTCAATCTTTCGTTTATACCAATGACAATAAAAACAGTTACTTATTTACAGTTTGTTTTTCACCTTTTGTAAATCTTCATCTTGTGCCTAAAATCGACAAGAAGGTTTAGTCGGTTATTCATTTTTTTTTTAATTAGCAGTAATTTGTTAGTTCATGTTCTCGCGACCTCTTTTACTATGGGCATCTTTGTTATTTTATGAAATGACAATACTGCTAAATGTGAATTATCCAGCCGTTTTTAACGTCTACTTGTAATGTATTTTTTTAACCAGAATAACAACGAAAAACCGGCAGAATAAAAAAACGAAATCACAACTTCACCATTAATGAACAAAAAAAAAAACCTGGGGGAAAGAGACGTATCTGAAAACACCTCTACGATTTATACATCCGCGTAGTACTTTACAATATAGACAGCATATAATTTGGTTTTAAAAGACACATACTAAACAAGTGTGTGTGAATAAAATGTTAAAATCAATTGTTACAAGATGTTTTAGCTTGCAAGGTAGATAAATATAAAAATACTTTTTTTTATTATCTGTACTTCCATTGTAGATAAATATGCCTTATACCGAGGTTCGAATGTCTCTTATGGTGCTTCTCTTTTATTCAGTCGAAATATTAATTTAGTATTTACTTTATATCTTGTATACAGAGCAAGTATTCGTTCAAGTTAAACATCTAAACCCTAATTATGCGAGCATATTAAGTATGGCGCTGACAAAAGGGTTTTTTTTCAGGCTTACAGAAGGATTACATTCGTGAAAAATGGCGAATACAATAATTCATTTAGTTTAAACTGGGACTGAATGAGCAGTGTCAAGGAATGTTTGCTACTGGATCAGTATACGCTTAGTTCGGTTAGTGGCCTACGTACGTAGATTCCTATTTTGTGCATTGAGCTGGTCCTTTTCGTCTAAGTTAACTATCGAACTTGAATAACCCTGTCGATTTAAATTACACTAAACTTACGTATATTTGCGAAATGTGTAAAATAGAATGTTACAACACAATTTAAAGTAACCTGAATTAGATCAGATACTCAGTCCTTCAAGGGGCACAGAATTAATGGAAAAAAAAAATGTAAAAAAGTTTAATCTTTTGTGGTATTCAATTCCCGGTTAAGACGGGTTGTCGTATACAAGGTTGGGTCTATTCCAGATAGCCATGCGGTGCAGCGGTATCGACATTTTCAGCAACGTTTTTATGATCTAGTTCATTTTCAACTCTCTAATTTGACGTTGCAGACTTAGCTTTCTTAATAAACCCGTCCCATGATATGAATTTACTCAAAAAATAATAAGCATTTTTGTTAATACCTATTGTTCATTGACTCCAACAAAAATAAATCCGTTTCCTCAATATACACAAAAATTTTACATTCCTAGAGGCTATGCTCTCCGCGGACTATCCAAACCATAGCTCTTTGCTAAAAATCTTTCGTATCATATAGCCTAATATACGCAACCGGACACGCATAATGTAACTCTGTGAATGAATAAGTCGTTTGAATTTTCGCGCCACTGGGTAATCCCTTGCAACTTCTGTTGCTATGACGGAGATTACACAACTAGATTTTTCGTAGACATGTAGCCTGTGTTGCAGCCAATCGTCACAGTTCGAACATTCGTACGAAATAGATGACAAAGTAACAACCTGTCAAGTGCCAGCAAGACTAAAGCTTGTATGAAATAAAATTTGTGTTGTGTTGGATTCCTGAACAAGAGCTTGTTGTAATAATGTCATGGTCTGAATGAGTGCTTCCTCAACATAGGCCTCTTCATTCAGGTACGCACTGAACGAGAAGAAACCGCATGTAAGTACTAATAGAGTAGATATAATGAATACAATTGCTGAACTCTTACAGGTGCATCTTATCTCATTCATCTGGTACTGGAGACTAGGTAAAAGTACAATGCCTTTACTCGGTACGCTGGGTTATTTTTTCATTTGTTAGAAGAGGCTAACTAGATCGAGCAAGAGGGGAACGGATCTCGGATCGTTCATTTAAAGTGAACAAGGAAAATTTACATTGAAATATCTTATTGTATATATACATATATATTCAATATACTATATAATATCATTCATATTAATTATACATATATATATATATTCTGTATAAAAATTCAGCATACACATAGACAGCTGTGACACATGTATGCGGCTGGACTCATGGTTGGTTGCGTCGTAGAAAATGTTTTAGGCTGTCGTCTTTTTCTAACGGATTTTCGGTCCAGCAGGTCGCTGTGAAGGTCATGTCGGCTGCATCAAATCAAAAGGTGCGCCGTCCCGAGTGCACGGTATACATCCTACTCATCAATACCATAGACAATGAAAATGGTGAGCAATATTGCATCAGTACCATGTAGCCAACCAATCAATGTGCTAACGTAGGTTTTCTAGCTCCAGTGCATCGACCTGTACAAAGGTAGATGTAAAAGTATACTTTCTGATTGAGATTAACATGCGTTCAGTATTCTAGCAACAATATTTGAGTGGATGACCCTCAAGAGAGTGAAGTGCCCCAAAACAATTCGACTCAAACTTAACATTGTTTATCTCTTAACATTGTGTCTCTTTTTTTTTTTAACCCTATATTTATGCGACTTTTTAGAAAATTTAATAGAGCCGAACTGTAATTCGTTTGTTATTAATAAATATATAAAACTGTGCCAAATTGCAAAAAAATGAATAAAGTTGAGAGCATGCAGCTCGTAACTAAGTAGGGTCATCCAGTTCAACGACAGCAAATGGGGGGAGGGGGGGGGTAACGCGGTTACTACGTCTTGGAGAGTGCCGGCATTGTCACCCGTTAGAGTAATAAAAAACATGCAGCTTTTCTCGTTTCGCTCAACAGATCATCTCGACCCACGACAACGACAATTACTAGTCGGCAAGCTTTTTTTTTATTGAATATCTGTATAAAATAAATTCATGCATGATACAAAAATATGCGTCCAACCTCACTTTCTTAGTGAGGCAATTCGAAAAAGGGCGCCAATTGCATATCAAGGAGCTACAAACAGAATAAAATTGTGTTTTTTGATTAGACTTACTACTTCAGTTGGACTCCTGATAGTAACAACGTTTAGTTGATATATTCCGATTACAATGAAGAAAAGCAAAAGTCCTCCACCTCGGCTTATCGATTTTTTTCTTGCAGTGAATAGAGCTGTCTTGGCACAGGGTAGTAATTACATAGCATATGGGCATCAAGTGTTGTTCAATTTATTATAACGGATATTTTCAGAAGATAACTTTGCGTCGTTACTAGGACAATAAGCCGGTGTATAAAGTACCTTCCTAAAAACATAGACGTGATATTTAATAAGATTCACGGCATACGCGTGGCCAACACTGTCTTTCGCGCATATAACTCTCTTCTCTGTTTAGATATATGACTAAATATTATATATTCGACTATATAAAAGATATAAGCTATGCACACACGTGGGCCTCTTCTATCGAAACGAAACGTTTTTCATTTGTTTCTTTAACTATTAAGAATATATTTATGGTTAATGCAATATTTCCCATAACCAAATTGCATTTGCTAGTACTGCCGACTATCGACGCAGTGTTGATGATGATCGAATCTGGAAGAAGTCTTATGATGACGATCTTTACGGCTAAAACCGTTCTCGAACGACAAAGTGACGCGCTCCTCCGAAGTAAGCCATTCGACAGACGATCCCGATGACGCCAACGATGCTTTTCTATGTCACACGCGCCATTGTGTGTGACTTCATCAAATTATCGATAAACGTATTATATGATAAAAAAATAAACAATGTGCTGTTTACAAAAGCTAACTTTATTAGTACATAGATTTGTTTGTGCCTTTTTCGCGACCGAAGGGACCAAATGTGATTCGAAATCTGAATCCAAAAGCAGCATGCAAGAGACACTATAGAAAAGAGGCAAATAGGGATCTGGTAGAGAGAGCATTTACTTTGCACCAGACTTCGTTTTAAGTCTTGGTCAACCGGAAGGCGCTTAAAAAGATTAAAGGGGGCCCAAAATGACCTTAGTAAGATTTATAACATGGAGTCGTTTACAACAAACATACACTTATTTCATATTTATATTAATATTTTAAGTTTTCGGATCAACGAAAACTAATAAAATGTAGACTAAAAAATCATACCCAAATCGACTTAATAGGAATCCTGCATGCGTCGTACAAGAAAATTTAGTTAATACTGATACATAATAACGCGCTGTGTCTTACTTACACACATGTTAGATGTTAATAAATTTAACGAACTTTTAAATTGGGTGTGAACACTATACCTTATGTACTACTCTATTTCTAATCTGATACCAAATGTTTAAGACGAACTTTTTTAGTTAAATAAATAATATGGGCTTATAAATGGAAAAGACTAGCAGAGCTTTCATTAAAGTTGTTCGAGATCCTGTGATGGCGGAGGAGGCTCGCAATTGTCGACAAAGTGTATATAGGGGAATCCAAAAGATGAACTCGGTAGAAATGGAATTGGCATTTGAGGTACTGGACTGGGTGGTGAGGGGGCTGCTTCCGTGTGTGATGCTTCTATAGTATGGGAGCCAGTTTCTCCTGTAGTGGGGATACTACCCATAGAAGTTTGACTACCTATAAAACCTGCGGTGCCTTCCTCGGGGTGTTCGGAGCTTCTCACTAGACCGGCCGAAGGGGGCGCAAAGATCCGATACGCCTCATTCTTCCAGTAATCGGATGGAACAGGATTGCTATAGAACGGCGAGGAAACTGGATAACAAAATATACAATATGAAAACACGGAATCCAATGAAATATACAGGTTAAACAAACAGAGCTAATGTGACATTGGCCCAGAGAATTTTATCGTTGACAGGACACGTTCGCATCGCTGAGAAACGGAAATTCATTCCAAGCAGTTTGTTTTTGAAAAATAAACATTTTTTTGGGGTTTATTTCTCTTATACAGGGAACGAAATCTCGATAGCTCTTATATAGATATATTCGCTTGCAAAGTGTATGCAAACAAGGGTACAACAAAACAATGTCAATTGTCAGATTTACATAAATGGTAATTGGACAGTTAGGCATAAATCAAGGCATAGAAGCATAGTGACAGCACCAGTGTATTGTTTAAGCTAAGGAACATCATCTGCATAGGTAAACAAATTTGACAGGACGCTGTAAAAAGCCATAAGGAAAAGTAACCAACCTTCTGAACTAGTCGAAGGTAGTAGGCTGGAAATGCTCCCACGCATGTCACCAGCTGTCCTACTCGGACCGGAAGGGCTTAAGTCACCATTGTGCGACAGGTGGCCCCGCTGAAAGGGACCACTGTCTGAAGTGTGAAACATTTGTAGGTGATGCTGAGGCTGAAGGTTAGGCCCCTGCTGTTGCGTTTGCATCAGGTATTCAGGTTGCTGTTGAGGATGATGCTGTTGTTGTTGTAAATGCAGTTGCTGCACTTGTCGAGACTGCTTGGCCACAGGTACAGTCGACTTACTCGCCGATCCTAACATTTGTCCGTCGCCGTTACGCGAATCAAGGAACGCTTTGGCAAACGGATTATGGCGTACTTTGAGCTGGGTAACTCGCTCATTTTGGTATGCCGTAACAGCTACAAACTGGGTTTCGCGCAGAGGAAAGCTCCATTCGCCGAGATGTACGGACGGGACTGCGGCTGTTGATGGACTACAGACGACGTGGTGACTAAGTGGTGTGTCACTGAAGCTCTCTACATCTTCTCGGGTAATAACAACGCGAGGCTCATATACGTGTAGACTATTTAGTACAATCTGAAATTTTCCATGGAAGGCTAATTTTATTGCGTCGTCTACAATCAGAAAGTAAAAAAAAAAACCGTAAAAATCGTCCGAGCATTCAATAGTGCAAAACATGTTGACGTAGTAACGGTCAATCGTTTCGATAAAATTAGGGTGTAACAAATGTTCCATTTGCTTACATATCGCGGATCTGCTGTGGGCTTATTAGTAAGCTTAGCTTTATTGAAGGCCACGGGCCCCTTCATCCAGAAGGCTCCCGTATTTGGGGAGTCCTGATGATGAAATCCACACTGGGAAGAAGCCGCTTCACCCTTTCCGCTTGTGACCCATTCCGTTCCTGTACGAATATTGCAGAATATATTATGGCCATCTAGTGCTTTTCCTTCATTTTTCCAATGCTTTCTCCATTTAGAAACCCTCAACACTCATAAGCTTGTAAATCGAACTGCAGCCACCTCAAAAGACAACAGCGTATTCGCATCAAATCACTTGCAAGACACTACTTACCATGAAACTTGTACCTGTTTCTTCCAATCTGCGTCAGTTCGAGTCGAATAGAGTATCTCGCTGAAGGTTCAAGTCCGGACAGCTGTACGCGAATAACAGGAAACATTCGTCTGGAATGGACGGAAAAAACGTCTTTTAGCAGAAATCAGCGCAAGACCGAGTCTACACATCTAAAATTCTAAGTAGGTGTCACAGAAACTTGCACGCAGGCATCTATTATATTGGCGTCGTTCGCAGCTAGCGCCGATTTTACGCCAACAATGACACGTTTAAACTTGAACTATCTCTGTTCGCCATTGACGACGTATTAAAATCTGACAGAGCACTTTCGATCGAATTCTACAACAAATGCATTTACCTCTTTGTTGAAGGCTGACGGCTGTTTCTCCACAAACAGCAGCATTTTTGACGATACTAACACTGCAACTTTCTTGTACAGTTTAAATGTCACTTGTATATTAACAAATAAACAAACACATCAGATCAAAGCAACCAATAGCTGCGCATAGATTAGAAACGTTTTTCTACGGATTAGGTATAAAATGGTTGGAACATCGCAATATCGATTTTATGCTCGCAGGCAGTATATCCCAATACATTTTCAACTAATCTTGCTCTGGAGAGCAACGTAATGAGCATTATCAAGGGACCTGTGTAAAACAATCTACCATATTTTAAAAAAAGGTTCCAGTAGAGACTAGCGAAGGCCTTTCGGTCGAAGTGTTAACCTATTATTGAAACAAGATTGTCTCCTGAATAGCTAAACAGCTTCAAATAGAAATAAAATACATTATACATAGTATGCTAAAATTAAGCACCGTTAAAATAAGCAACCGTTAGGCATTCCATAAAGCCTGGCAGACAAGCACCCTTTTTACCACTGTGCTATATCTATGGTGCAATATTTGTCATCTTGTTTAAGAGAAGCTCGCTGGCATTCGCTCAGTTTTCATTTCAGGTACGGAAACAGCGTGTTCACTAGTACGCAGGGCGTTTTTGAGCGTCGTCTTCAAAGAAACATCGCCTGTATAACTTTCGGCTTTCGTTATGTTTGTCCGTATGCGCAATTCGTACGATCAACATTCATATAATAGATAGGCTTGAACAATCGTACAACAGTAAATCGTCGTTCGGGACCGCGTGTACAACAAATTAACATTTTTTCAAGTTGTCGTTGCTCCCAGCAACAGCAACATATGTATTACAATCATATGTCTATATCCTGCAGGGCGAAGCCAATCTTCGACGTACGGTTCGCGCTAGCTAATGTACAAAATCATATTAATTCGCCTATACGTAGTTATTAAACGATCAGAGAAACAATAAAAAGGTACAGACCAATGGCAGAGTTCAAAACGCTTTGCAAGAGCTTAGAGAGGACCCGTGTTTGCCGCTGAAGGAGGCGGCGCTGCTGGCGGAAAAACCGCTTTGAAGTGCCATCTAAGCGACGACGCAAGCTCGGCAGTCATCGAAGCATTGCTTCCCAACCGAGCCAACTGCCGGTACACCATGTGGCGTCTCCGTCTGAGACGTCAACAAGGTATGTATGACACCTTGACGAGAATTGGCGGCAGTCTGTGGAACGGCGTACGCGTACAGAGGCGTCTTTCACAGAGTATTGTTCTTATTGGCTTCAGTTGTACAACGCCAGCATAGAAGACGGCGACAAGAAAAAGGGAAACACAAGACAACTCAGTAGTTAAAGTGTGTGCCCGATTGTTAGTTTATGGCAAGGTTGGATAGACGGACCTGGCAACTAGCTTCATCGATTGCTACACCTACCAATCCTCCACTATAACTTTGTCTGTCACAGGCGATGCGACTAACGGCAGTGGTGCGACACGCCGCAGAGCTGCACTTCACCATACGGACGTATCTTAACCCGTTCCCACTAGTCGTTCTACAGGTCTGCGCTAAAATAGTTACACGCACTCGGTTGCGTCCGTAACGCTGTTGATCTAGAAACATTACGTTGAACGGAAGCTGCTAGGCTTCATAGAACATTCAAGAGGGGAAAGGACTTGACGGGTTGATATCACTTTAGCAACAGCAGCAGCATCAGCAACAAGCGGCCTGTGCAGGCCCCCGCGCTCAGGCGTCAGATTAATGCGACGGGACCCTCAGACACATTTTCTTGTTGGAGGAATAACAGGCGAAACTGAAATGATTTTCGGTGGTAAGGCAAACGACGATGGTTCGAAAACGTCAGCTATAAAAGACGGATATACCGTAGCGAACTGAGAAAACGAGTTATTTTGCCCGCTTGATCCATGTAACCTGTCCTGCTTTTTTTATAGTCGACTGCTTTATTAGAGAGGCTACAAATGTTTGCAACACGCATACGTTTCTTATTTACTCAGATCACACGATACGGATATTTTTTAAACTTGCTAGGAGTAGACATTGACCCCGATGTAAAACTGTGGTTCGTACTTTCTGTGTAGCAACTGCACATACAATGTGCAAGACTTCATTGCACAGCGAACTCAGCGAAATCTGCACGGAGATTTCACAACGCGTCGCGACAGACCGATAACTCGCATGCTCGATTACGCGCTTCTCCTTTCCGCGATATAAAGTTCTTCCTCTTTCATAAAGCACTATAATAACTTACATATACATATATATTGTGAAACGGACTTATATAGGTATCTGACATTACAATAAATAGTTTTTGGGTATTTAGGGCGTAGCGTAGGTTTCTACAGAAGCAGTCTTGTTCGACCAAAGCCCGAGCCACGATCGACGCCTTGCAACTTCGCATTGTTGTGGAGCAGAAGAAATCGTACATGGGTTGGTGGAAGCTGTCTAGTGCGGGCTGAAAGCCTCCAGTATGAGAATAGCAAGTTTAAAAAGTGGATGGAGTGGATAAAACGTCAAAAAAAACCCAAGAACAATGGCGTAACGACCAGGTTGTGCGGATAGTCGACAAATATATTCTGCGATCACAAGGCGAAAGAGTCCATTCATACATATATATATATGTATATATATTTATATAAGCGGAGGTGTATGGACTTTTTCTACTTTTGTAACCTAGATAACTACAGCTCAAAGCCACTAATCTTTTTTGATCCATTGTTTCGAGTATAGAAAATATTAATTGACAACTGTTCACTGCAATACGATTAAGGTAGGTTTAATCAGTCTTGGGCATATGCTTATCCAGCATATAAGAGGTATCGTAAATGCGAATAAAACGTCGTATAAAAGCAGCGCCATATTATTCCTCGTAGAAAAATTTCCTGTAAAATCATCGCTGATACCTATACTCCAGTGTGAACAACGTATATACCTTTATACAACAGGACAGAAAACCATAAGCTATCAGAAATCCTTAGAAGCGTAATCTATGCTAGAAGCAGTTTTTTTCTTTGAAAAGCGGATAAAATATCCCGCAGAACAAGACGTTTGACTTAGATCTCACCGATGCGATCTGTTCATAAATTAACATAGGATACGGGGCATTTGGTGTAACTAAAAAAAAAAAGGCGCTAGCAATTACAACAAGACTAATGTAAACTATTTCCATCATATGCGATCTTTATTAAATACGTTTATTCTCCGCGTTGAGATACGTCTATTGTGACGTCTTATTTCAATAACTACCGTATACGTGCCAAGATCGAACTTGAACCCACATACACGACGTCAGCTGCTTCTCGCTCTACGCTTTGTCAGTCGCTAAGCCGACTTTCGCTAAGGGAAAAGTTGAATCAGCCGAACAGGGGTAAATCCAATCAGCGTTCCAAGGTGCATATTGTGGTTTTTGGGCAAATGAACGACTGCGGTAATGTGTTCACAGGAGCTGCTATTCTCTGCTATGAATGACGAATGAAAATACGAATGATTACCGTGAGAGATTCGTTGGACGTCCACCGTAAAAGATCCGAAACGTCAAAACAGTGAAGAATTCCATTGATTTTACGCAGTGCTCAATAAATCCACACATTGAGGTTCTTCGTATTTTGGATGCAATGACGTCACAGCTCGAAGCGTAACGTAAACACGACGAAACTACTGACGGTTTAGCGACAGAAAGAGTCGTTGTCATTGTGGAAAACACTCGGCAGTACAATACGCGATACCGATAGGGTGCTTACGAAGGGTGTCAAACGGCTTGTGGAACGAAGCGGAATCGTAAAATGCTGATCTCTTAAAGGGAAAGTTCTCACGGCCCTTAACCAGAGAAAAGGGTGACGAAAAACATACAAGACCTAAAGGGGTGCAGAAGCAGCTATGCAGAAAAACTACACTGCACTGGCCTGGTCCACAGAGAACTAGGACAAGACTTGACCTGACAAATGGCATGGAAGCTTCAAAAGAAATTTTGCGATAACCGACTAATCCCTTACTTAGTCAATCCTCTAATACAGCGGAAGGACAAGAGATGTAACAGTTACTGAATCGTAGAAATACCATATCTAAAAAATGTATTACTTAAAGTTCAGCAAATAAATGCTACAGGACGAATGTGCGGCAAAAGCTTTAACCTGTGTCTTTTGGCATTAATCACTACTTTGTCGCCTTATGCATACCTTGTTTGATGCAAAAAGTTAGTTATGATAAAAATATAATATTACACGAAGTATCAGTTGACCAAATCGGCGAGCTTATGAAAAAAGGTGCCTAGAAGATAGAACCATTTGAAAAGGAAAGCTTGGCCCGCCCGTTGAACAAACTGTACAGGCATTTGACCGTGGAAAAAAATAGTTTTTCCGCAATACAACCTTCGGAAAATAGCTCTGATGTTGAAACGCACCGTGCTAAAGTATTAGGAACGACAATATCTTCTTTATATTGGGTATGATATCTACAGTTTAATCATGAAGAGTACGTCATTAAATGTGAATTAGTCACTTGTTACAGAATAAAACACACTTACAATGTCAAATTTAGAAGCTTCTTATCTTCATCACCATGCTGTTATTACATAGTTCATTCATTTTGATTCAAGTGAGTGTATCGTAACTGAGCATCCGATTGACTTCATAATTCGCGAAAATATAGATAGGTATAATACTAATATAGTTATTTAGATGCATAAATGTCCTATACGGTAATTGTACTATGAACTTCCCTAGGCATTGCTTGCTACGGAAGTAACTCATAGATAGAAAGTATTATCACGTAACTGCTCAATCAAATAATACTTACAATAAAATTGCAGCGTTAAATAGTTTCGCCAGTGTCCTTCCCAATTGTAAAGTGAACTCCATAACACTGGTCGGATGCTCTGTTATACAGTATATTAACTTAGCTAAAAATGAGTAAATTCCGTAACACCAACCTACCGATGAACTTGAGAAGCCTGTACGTTTGAAAACTTAAAACTCTCAAAATTATCCTAAATTAGTGATATCGGATGATTGACTATGAATTGACTACACGAATGTCTTTTCATTGTATCTCGATGCGCATCGTGGCAAGGCATATTCTGCGCTAATATGGCGCGCATGTCTATGAGTTTGCTGGCTATTCGTAAATTGTCCTCGCGCGGGCGCTGCAGTAACTTGTTTGCCTACTTAGGGCAAGGTTTGAACGTAAACATATTTTGATCCTGCAATAAAGACGGCAATAGTAATAGGAAAAAGGAACCGGTATACTCTAAATGCGTTCTGCTACTCGGTCCCTCCGGATTACTCGTACCAAATGCCCCGTCCTGACAGATCCTTGAAACAATGCCAAAAAGCGGTGCCAAGGCCTGTTGTGGAAGCGACAAGTGTGTGTGATCGGCTATGGCGATAGAGCGCTGGTAAACTGATAAAACCTCTAAAAAGCAATTCTGTAGCAGTAACATTAGAACGCAAATTAAAAAAAAGGCGGCCAGAGACCTTCGGTTTTCGTCACAGGCCTCATGTAAACGTAAAATATATTATGGCTCATCGAGGTTAAACCTTTTACCCGAAACCCTGCAGCTTGAATTTTTCCACAATATCCTTATTTACATGGCGTGAAATAACTCTCGTGTATACAATATTCGTTACGAGCGATTAGTCAATACCTAACTCTAGGTAAGTAATCCCATTACTGAACGGGTCACTATTTACTATCGACTTTAGGCCAAAGCAAAGCCAGAAACGCTACAACCCTCGATCTTATAATTTACCCCGCATCATTAGTAACAGCCACTGACAATTTCAAATTATCTTTTAAATAGTCAAAATGCACTTATTGAACCCAACGAACAGCAAAACCTATTTTGTATAATTTTTTCCGTTATTTGGCTCATCATTGAACCGTTGAAAACTAGGTTTGTCAAAATTGCCAAGCCGACCAACCTTATCCAGCCTCTGAAGTTATATACTAAAAAGCAAGACGCCGAATAGTTTCCCTAATCCTTGTATGCAAAGTTTCCTGCATCGCAATAGTAATCTACCGCTCTGTCAGCGGCAAACAGATTATAATAAGACACGCCTACCCCTTTGACAGTCGCTGTAAAACGTTACAAACTCATTGTCGTAGGTTAAATGTGCCTAAGTTATAAGGTCTAGGACAGTGGTTACACTCGTACTAGCTCTGAATGTTAAATATAATGCTAAATAAATGAACATCTCTACATAATAAAGGTGGGAATTATTTGATCATTAATTTAGTTTGCTTTTGAGAGCATACATTACTGAAAGTCGTTATAGATTTCTGCACCGCTTAAACTAGAACCAGTACAAGATCCTGTTACAATATTTTAGCGGTTCGGTTTCAAAGGAAAAAAAAGGCCAAGCGCTTAAACATGATCTTTCCGTCGGTTTATTGCCTTTTATATGTTCAAAGGCTACTCGCTGCCTGAACGTTACATTATTGTTGCGTTAACACCGTCTTTTACACCGAGTTCAAGACACCAACACGTTTTGAGGGCAGGATGCTGATAAGCAAAGCACCCAATAATGAAGCCCAAGGAAATTTATCCTGTGCATGTTGGCTGACTGTCTGGTGGTGTTTTCCAAGGAACTTTGGACCGCTTGAGTAATGCTCAGAGGAATTGTTTACACGCAATCTCCCATATCGAAGCTTGGACATACTCGTTTTTTAGTACTCAATGCAGAGAAAGTGCACATAAGTACAAATTCTCATATTCTAATGATTCGTTTAGAATAGTCGGACAGTTTAATAATTACCATTGGGTTCCAAATTCCAGCAACTCGTGAAAGACCCTCGAATTGCGTGGAGTGCTTTACCTTATCGAAGTATAGCTAAAAGGTTGGTCCTTTTCTAATCTTCGACGAACACCAAAAAGGCTTTGTCGTCAAACGTGAAACATAAAATGGTCGTCAATCAGCCTGACACCCTTTTATTAATCGTGTTAACATAACGAGCTATACTTGAAACATAGTCTTCGTCTTGGTCTTTATGGATCTTATGTTCCTATATTGAGTTAGATAGACTATGCAAGTGCTATATTGGACAAAGCTTTCCGGGTGGATATGTACACTTTGATCTTAACCAAAAGGCCGAGAAGTTGTGTGCTAATAATAGGACAGTAACTATTTGTTCCCATATTAAAATATGTTGTAGTTCTGATTCTAAATCGGGCATAGTAACTTGGTTTTGTATAGGAAACGAGCCGTTCGAAATAATGTTTATCGGCACGACTGGATGTCATACTCTCACGCTGTAAACTCGATATCTACGTGCATATATCGTTCGATCGGGCGTTTAATGTCGATGAGTACGTATTTTACCAGGGAGTATAGTTATTTACTTTATCGATGAAACTTCAACGTTGAACTGAATTTATTGAATTCCTTTTATACATTACTAGTCGGATCATATCGTAATACCTACCTGAACGCCATTGCAGTTCGTTATGAACATTGTGCATACAATGGATCGTTATAAAGGCACCACCAGAAAGCAGGAACCAGGAGAAATACATTTTATTCTCTCCTATTCCCTGTCAGATTTAAAAATGATGAAATGATTTTCTAATGGGGATAACACGAAGCTACTTTTCCATGCAGAAATTTCCTACTGTGCACACACTTGTTTCTCTCATACATTTTTCCATTGTTGCTGACTCTCAATTTATTTATATTACTGAGCTAATATAAACTCTAAGCCAAGCCATTTTCGGTTAGTTCTGTCCGACTTAATTAGGATTAGGAGGTTCGTATAGGTTCTTATTCTGTGTTATACACTTATATTACTATAACACGGAATAACAACCTATATATATACATGTTTATGGCTGGACAGAAAAACAATACGATTCAAGCCGTTTTTCACTTAAATAGGATTCTTCATTTGAGGCCTTCGTAGTTAACAAAAAACCCATGAAAAGCTGGTAAATTACGAACTCAGGGGCACACCACCTTAATGATGTCTGGTGTGAAGTGTACGTGACTAGTGTAAAAACATAGCATTGACGCGCACCTAACCACTCTAATTTTACTGGCCTAAAAGTGGACCACTTTACCAGTTAACGGGAATTAATTTCGAAAACTGCTTTTTAATCTGGCAAATCAACCGGTTTAATCAGGAGATATCCATCGAACGACTTACCGTCCACTCTTAGTAACAATCATCTCATTAGTAACTTCACGAAACTTTGTCCATAGTTCGAAATCCAATAAGGAAACATGCGGCGAGGTAATTACTTCTTCCATAATCTACAGTTCCATGGATCACTGAAGTACGTTCCAAAAACCTGATCCAACCTACAATTAAATTTTCACCCGAATGTCGCACCTGATTTCTGACCTATAATCGCACGAGAGTTTATTCTATCGCTAATGAAGCCTGCTATTCCACATTCACCTTTACATTGTGTCTTTATCACTCCGATCTGTTTTTTAATAATTTCCTAATAAACATATGAATACCTTAATCCACGCACAGTGTGTCTTCTGTGTGGTTCGAGTTTGGTCCTTCTTGGTCACCTGTTGGATTGACATTTGTCTTGTGCTAAGTCCTTAATAGGCTAATTGACGTGACTGCTCTCTTTATAGTCCCACAGAAGTGAGCGATACAGTTAGCAAGCAAACCCCACATCCTGCCACCATTTTTGTTTTCTCCCTTTATCTAAAAGGCTTTGTCAAATCTGAGCTATTTTCGGTTACTGATTTCTGCCGTACCAATTAACGTAGACGCCACGCGGCGCTATTTCATCTCCTGCTTCTATGAGTTCATCTACAGGTGCACCGAGGAGACACTTGGCTGATGGCGCGTACCTAAGAGTTCATACGTCAGTTGTACAATATCTGAAGGGAGTACCGGAAATTGCAGACGTCAGTGGTACACAATATACAGTCGGCTCATTAGCTTATCTTTGATAACTGCCTCTGATCACGCTTGCGGAGAGTATATTTGAGTATCACTGCTGCCCAGGTTTCTTCACTGCGTAAGCGTGTTGCATATATTAACGCGTATAGTAGATAATGTGTGTTAGTAGATCTGCGCTTTGTCTCCGTTGTATTAGCGCGTATGAGTACCTGTCTCCACTTGCCACCAATGGCCTGTAATAGAAGATCCTTAAAGCAGCGAGTCCGCGGTTGCCGCCGCTGCCATGGCGACGAAGTCGAGGTTCAATTGAAGTGCCAAGCACAACACTATGCCTGCATATAACTGGAGTGAACCAGGCTGAACAAAACCAGCAACAAACCAAATAACAGCGGAACAGCGCCTTACAGCAAAGAACGAAAAACAGATGAAGAGCGACAGTTCGCTATAGACAAGCAGAAAGACCTCAGCCGCGCTTTCACCGCAACAAGTACAACACGGCGCGACAATCGGCGGTGATGTTATCGACGGCAACAATCAGCTTCGCTATCTCGCACACTGGTGGGGTGAAAAATAGGACAACATCAACAGAAGCAGCACGTTTAGCCTCGACGACGACGACGACGACGACGACGACGGCGATGATGACAACGGTGACTATAGCCATAACTAAATCGCGCCGCTTTTCTACCTCGTCGCGGGCGGGAACGTCAAAAGACAAACCCAACACTAGTACAGCAGCGTCAGCGCTCATCAGGCAAGCGCTAAACCAACCGGGCGCTAGAAAAACTTCGTTCGGCCAACCCGCTCGACGTTTCGGCCGCTTCGAGTCGAAAGCGTATGCCGTCCCTTCGCTGGTTGGGACGGCAAACAAAGCTAAAGCTCCGCCCCGTCGGGTAGGGTCCACTGCCGATAGCGAGTTGATGGGTACAGCGCGGCTGGCGGCTCTCGATGGTACGTGCTGGTAAAGGTACGCGTTTGCAGAGGTATACGTTAGCGACAAGTAGTCGGCCAATTTGTGGACGGGATAGTTTGTTTCTATATACACGCGCACGTATATCACAGAAATGATTCGAACCGCTTTATAGTTACGATGGTTAACGCAAAAGGAACGCTTAAAATAGCAACAGGCTGCACGTAAGAGAAGGAATAGTCCAAGAAGTTCATCTTCGTATATTGTATTGTACAAGCTACTAGTCTAATGGCAAAAATAGATTGACGAGCGAACAGGTCTCGACGAACGACTACTATACTTCAACTTTACTTCGAGCATTTGGAGCAATTTTTTTTTTCATTTTAGCCTCGATTCCTGTTTGCAGGACGAACCGTTGTACAATGGAATAGTCGGATCAAAATGCTAAGTACATTGTGTACTGCGTTAACGCCATTCCCAGCGCATCGTTCTAACTCAGTTCTGGAGCATCGAAGGTTCCGCGGTCGCCTTCTGGGTTGACCCCTTCGTTTATCTACCTCTCACGTTCGCGGCCGTCGCTCTTTATCGACTGGCATGCGCTGTATTTACCTTGCGCGTCAAGTAAATCGTGGATATCGTTGTTCTCCGTGTAGACTTTTAGGGTGGGATTCAACTCAAGCGAATGTTCAGTCCTGTACAAAGAGACCGAATCGCGGTCAACATGTGGTGCATAGCGACAACTCCCATAGTCAGCTTTTCCTCGTCATTGGTAGGCGCGAGGAAAGTTACTGAATGAGACATCAGAATCTTGCAGCCACAATAACTATGGCAATAACATCAAAAGTCCTATAAACAAATTTATATGCAGATCAAAATCTAGGGTGGTTGATGATACTTCAGACAGGCTGACTCTGTCGGTAGAAAACAAGCAAAGTCTTCAGTAACAGACTATCACTTTAACGTCAAAACACACTCTGCGCTTCAGTGGATTTTTTAGACTATTTCACAATCAGCGTAGACAAAAACTACAGAAACAATGTACGTGTTTTAGCGATATCTATCGAGGTATCTTATGTACTTATTGATGCCGGTAGCTTGGAGATGAGCTTGCTCTTTAGCTAGAAAAAAGAAAAGTACAAGAGAGTTGCTGCACTGCAGAGGTCAAACTAGCCTTACCCTGGTAATCTACATTAATTCAAATCCATGACTACGCCTCGCAGCGGTAGCAAACTATTATAACTTTTCAGTTCTATAGAATTGACCTATTGTGAGCTAGCCGTCCTTAAATTATCAAAGAGCGACTAGCAAGTGGACCAAACAAAAAAGTATATCCGTAAACACCCGCAAATTTCAGCATCTGCATCTAATATCAAAAAGCGCACAAAATATAAAAGGCGTAATGTGTTACAATTTTATATACAGTAGAAGAAAGATTATACTTTGTATCTTAATCTTCAGAGAGCCGCAGCGTCGTTCCGCTAGCATAAACTTCTATTTTGTCAACTGTTTCGATATTGTGCTGTGGGCATACTTCCGAACTCAGAACTTCTTTTGGCGTCCCTGGGCCAGCGAACGCGAGGATGAAGCTAGCGGTGGTATGCGCCCATACAAGATCGCACAACTCCAGCTCGTCGTCATATATAAGACCTGAAAGGACATAGATAAATCGGATGATGTTACGCAATTCGACAATTAAATTATCGGGCTGCATAAGCAAAACCTTCGTCAGAATGTACTTCATTTATATCTAATACCTTATTATAATACTAAAACTAAGAAAGAATCCATAGTTCGAATTATAGCTCATTTGCTTATCTATTGAATTTAATATACACATTAGTTTGACCAACAAATTTCGAAGCAAAGGAGCTAAAATATTCCCAATAAATATGTCATTCCTTATCCACGACCTTTGATATATACGTTTACGCATACGGTTCATATGTTAGATAAAGATACTCGAGTTTTCAGTAATTCTTCAGTTTGTTAATGATAAAAATTAGCCAAAACCCCACTTACGTGTACACCGTGAGAAACGCGGAAAAGAACCGCTAACAAAAAAATAATTTATGTCGCATTTAAAATATAAAGCTGCTATAAAATGAAATTATATAGTATTTCCGAAATCTCCTAGATGTAGATAAGCTCAAATTCTTTAGTTCCCGAGTCTCAGAAATAGACATGTTCTGTTATATCGTCTACCAGCCTTAGACACAATCGTAAACACTATAACAAATAAACTGAAGTTGCTCTTCTTAGAATTTAGTTGCTATTTTATCTATTTATGAATATAGTGCATAGGCATGGTTATATGATTGCACGTAATGGTTTCTCTTTCTTCACAATGTGTCTGTAACAAAATAAACTTCCTTATTCTTTCTTAGTGAATTAGGCTGTTACAAACGAATCCGATGGACTTTGGCAATGAACAACTTCTTAAGTAGTTGAGTTAGAATGAAGATTTCTTATTCCTGATTTGTTGAAATACCCTCCTATTTGTACGTATTTGCCCTAGCGCTCTGGCAGTTTTCTGACAGCTGTACATCTACCATTCGCGTTCACACATGTATTTCCTCTACCTATGGCTTATCGAGCTGAATCGATAATGAAGTATGCCGGACCACCATTTGCCATTTTAAGGGTATCGAAAACCCCGTAATTTCATGGGTCGGAAGCACCAGCAGGTCGAGGCTGACGTTCCTCAATATTTCTTTGCTCAATTTTGTAAGTAATTGAGCCATGGCAGCGAGAGCCGACTCCGTCATTAAGTAATTGTTATACCTGTAGTCTATGAGTCTCTTGAAGACTTCGAGATAGTGAGCTGTATTCGTTGTTCTTTTATGACGAGTCTCCTACTGTGGCAGATGTCTCCATTGCCCATTACAAATGCTACCATCATTTTATGTCTAAACCTATTCGGCACTGTCACCGCACACAGGTTCTCTCTAGGATGACGCTACACCACTACCTTGTTTCTGACGATTGAATAGCGGTTTTTTTGTTGATTAAAACTTTACCAATTATATATGGAGTACATTATACGTATTTCCAACAGAACCCGATTTGACTCACGGATAACCCATTTTTTCTCAGCTTCTGTATTTCCAATATTTGGGTTAGAATTCTGTAATTGCTACACGCGAAAAGCCCGTTTCAACGGACTTCACAAACTTCAAGCTCTCCTCTTGGAGAGAATCCTCTCGATTGTGACAATGCTTTCTCATTCTTTGGGTTCTTGCATCTAATCAGTTCCTGGCTAATCTTCAACACTCCAGTCGCCCTCCAGTCACCGCCATTGAAACATTTGCACCACTCATGTACCGTGCTTTGGCTTAAAGCCTCTTTGTCTAATATTTTTGATGAATTTCCGGAGCGCTGTGGCCTTCGGAAGACCTGAGCCCTGAGCGTCAGTTTTCGAGAAAAAAATGTGCTTTTCCGTTCAAACTTGTTTCTCATCAAGTAAGCTCAACCTGTTTACTTACAGAATTCTAGAAGGTTGGAGTCTTAACCAGTCGAACTTCGTCTGCCGGCGGCACGTAGTTCAAAAATGATTCAATTTCGAGGTCCGCTGGGTTTGCTTGTAATCGCTTAATGTTTCGTAAAACGATAGCCTTATACCTGAATAATTTAACGCATTCCTTGATTTTAAGTCATATCTACTGATCATCTACTTTTTAAAGTTAGAGAACCTCACCAAAACTAGGTATCTTTTATCTGAGCAATAATCGCGTATTGTGTTAGATTATGGAAAATATGATTACGAAAACGTCTTGGCAAACAATGATTGCCTTCATTTAGGTGAACTTCTGCGTTTTGTAGGCATGAAGTAGGATTCGGTTAAACATCTATTTATCTAAGCAGATTAGGATGTTTTTCATCGTCTGTCTTTATAGCAACATTGCGTTAAAACGTGGCTTCAATATACACTAATGTTTACTAGAGGACCTTGAAACGTGTCGGTGATGAAATTATTGTAAAGCTTGAGAATAATCGTGCGAATTTTGTAGCAAACTTCGAAGGATCTAAATTTCTCAAAAAAATGATGGGAGACACGATCCTCATAACATGGGTACTGCCGACATCATTTGTTACGTCTCTAATATTCTTTAATAGTTTCCGGGGAGGAATCAACACAGGCGTTGTCTGTTTTACTGATTATGTGATTAGCAAAGAGATACTAATACGTACCTATATAAAACTCGTATAATTGTGGATTACGGCGGGCAAATGCTGTCTGAAAATTTAACACAATGCCTTCCTGAGCCACAATAATTCCAAGAAGTGTGATACCCCCATTCGGACAATTTATGCTCACTAACACCCACTTAGAAGCAGGTAACACACGCATTACTAGGTTAAATATATTCTTATAGTTTTCTAAAAAAAAGTTTCACAGGTATGTATTTCTAATGTAGACATTTTCAATATTATCCTAAACTTTTCTAACAACGCGTAATCATTTACGAAAATCTTGAATAGACAGTTAAGGTTCTACATAGATTACACACTGTATCATCGGATGCATTAAAGCAATCTCTACTGATCATCAAACCCTAACCACAATTGAACAGCTTTGTTGGTCCAATGTAGCACCTTCCTCGCCTAAAATATGTACCTCATACTTGGAGTATTTATAGGCATTTACCTGGATATAATCCCAGATGACGCAACGGCTACTACCACTTGCTTAACGGCCTTATTATTGGCAAAAATGAAGTTTGTCGGGAAAGCATTTTCCTGTGCCTTCGGGCCGGTTAACGAAACCCATCGAATATCGATGTCCAGCCAAACACGTACACAGTACCATTTCAAAATGATTCGCGATTGTTGATGATGTCTTGCTTCAAAAGTACGTCACGCTGAGATTTTTACTGAATTTTAAAGTAGCTGTTGGGATGATTGGCAGCCGGATGTTAATATCGCCCCGCCGAAGTCTTGTACCCGCTTACTGGAGTCCGTAAGCTTATTCTGGATACGCAAGGGGTGATCGTATGTGATTACTGGTAACAGGCAGAATTATACCGTTCCTCCTAGTCCGCTCCTATGTATTTTACTATCAGTTACAGCAACCCCGAGCCGCTTCGTGAGTTTGACGGGCCTTCATCATCCCTAAAACGGTTGCAAACGGATCTGGAAACGCTTGAGGCACGCTGGTACGTACGATCGTGTCAAATCATCTGCGAGTAGGCTTTTTTTTTAAATGTTGATAGTGTTTATTACATTTTCGCTAATACTGACGATAAGCACTATAATAATACGAATAATTACATAAAATAAAGATCACCACTGAGCAACAAACAATTGCGTACACCTTAAAGGATGGTCACCACAAAGATTCATTGTGTTGATATAGAGAGACATTCTTGCAAACGTATATTGAAGATCACATAATGTTGTCAGCTTTTTCTTTTTGATTTGGATAACATCCGACTGTGGAGGCGTAGCAAGTGCACTGCAAGATGCAGAAGGGCAGCTTGTCACTCATGTATTGGAGAATTTCATGTATTTATTTAATACGTACAGAATGGAATTGATAATGTCCTTATTTTCGGTGAGGCAACATAGTCATTTACTGCAATTAAGCTATATCGGCCTTTATGCCATCATTTACTTAAGGCGAGCACTGAGAAAAATTTATAAGAAACTGTGATAATGTGTTCACCAAAGACTCCTCGACCTCATGACGATTAGTTAGTCAACGCAAGTCATTTGTAAAGCCCCACAGAGTGTGTATGGCTTGTAACCCCCAAGGGTGGAGTTTTATGGGCCAGTAATGACTTTGTAATGAAAAGCTCAAATATTTAGACGCTCAAGTATCAGTATAATAATCTTTAGTTGAATATCCCCTAAATATAAGTTGTTTTTTTGTATATAAGTCAAAGGAATAGCATGTTCACTTGAGCAGCACCACTACATTTAATTAAATTTATTTTGTCGGACAACTAAAGTAAGATATTGCTTTTTAAGGGATGATTTACGTTCTTAAACCTTGCGACAGCATGGCCATTAGCAATGAGATGTATATAGGACAGCGCTTGTTTCCGAAAATAAATAGGTTTTCCCCTGGAGTAATAGCGGATCTTTTGGTGTTGTTATAATGTTATTGTGTGTAGTTGCTCAAACTTATTATCGGCCTGTGCTGCTGACGCGAAGAGTCATATTTTATTAATATAGATTTATGTGCGAAAAGGTCTTAAAAAACCACCGACAAAATTTGTTATCCTAAGAGCATTGTTCTGACAATTCAGCTACGGGATAGATTGCGACATTTCCACCTAAGTCGAAACGAAGTTCTGTTCTGTTGAGTGACGAGAGGCATCATTGAAACTTTGTGTGATACTCCGGTATATGCCCGACGTATATATATACGTATATATATACATAACTAATAGTGATACATGATGTTCAAAATTACATTGACCTATATAATTCCTCATAGTAATCTCCCTGTAGTAGTCTCTAAATACAACTTGATTTTAATCCACCCGTTTTGCTAAATTGCAAAAACAGAGTTATTTTGTTTGTTGAATACTTAGCTGCACAAAGTAGGTCGCCCTATTCGATCGAACAAGAGCAGTCACCTGAACTGCATTACTTACTGACCCTTAAGCACTAAAGACAGAGCTTTACAGTATTAATATTCCGAAGAAACAAACTTCTTCGTGGGAAGACAGACAGATTCATATAACCCCGACCCGACGATCCCCACTACTTGTTGATCGAGTTTACCGAAGTCAACATGACATTCGAAAGCAAGAATGTAGGCGTTGTATGGTATGACCCAATCATAATTGATAAATTCGGATTATTCTCATTGTACTCTAGCGGAGTACGATTCTTCTACCTTAGCGGCTAATTCCGCGTATGGTTTCAGAAACCATTTCAAGCGGTGACGCATCTTCCAGCATGGCAAGTAAATACTGATTTGTGCCGGTTTGTAGAAGAATCATACGCTGTACAGAAGCTGATACAGAATTTTTCGTACGGTCCGCAATATCCGCATCGATAAGCATTTCTGTGGCTTAAGTTGTAAAGTCGTGATCTAGCCACTATTATAAGACGTGCACATGGAGTAGCGCTTTCCCTCTTGGTAACCCTTCGTAACAAACGATCGACGTCTTTGCCGCGTTTGTGCATCGTTACTGTGTTGCATCGCATACCTAAGCCTGTTCTTGAACAAAGAAAAAATCTATTTTTACTAACGCCTGCGAATCATCATCATCGTCGTGAGGAGCACCAGTAAGGGTATATTTCTAACCGTAAGGAATTTCGATTTTATCGTTGTATCGACCGACCAAGTATCGTTGCAGTAGGCAGACCCCTTGTGACAGTTGGTAAAGCTGATCGAAGGCTTACTATCCTATAGAGTAACTCCAAAGGCTTAGACATCGTGATGCCGACCGTTGCCGCGGGAATAACACCTCGATTTTACACTGGTTATTATAAGCAGCAATGTAGTCTTGCAATACATTATAGGACACCGATGAGTTTCAAAAACAATGTGTTTAATCTTAACACATTGTTCGACCTAATCTGCTATTTTAGCTTTGATCATTTACACGCGATGTCCATCTGTATGTATGAATTTCGAAGAAAGCCTGGTGCGAAACATTTTTAGCTGCTATACGAATAATCTGATGTAAGGGTTTTCTGCGTGAAGTACCTCGTCAAGTGGCTGCATTTGTTTGTTAACGTCTCTGCCGCATAAAACTAATAGGGACTGCAGCTTTTCTAAATTCTCGACCCAAAATCGCTGGACATCTATGATGTGTGCAACTGTAAAGGCAAGAGGGATCTGCTGGTTCAACACCAAAAAGGAGAAGCTTTTACCCATTTGGTTGCCATCTGCTCCAGACTTTCGTAAGGCACATGGTTAAATTAGCACACATCCCGGTAGAAATACACCGGTCCCATGTAATTCCACACAGCAGAAGATGAATCTGAATTCTCTTCTCAAGCTTGGGCAACAATACAACTATACAGCTGAGTTTCCTGAAGGCTAGTTTAACACCTTTCGAAAAAAAAAACTTGTTAAATTTTCAAGTTACCTACCTATCACTCCTGCGGCCATACCGCCGATACCTTCACCGCGTAAACAGGTTGCTTCAACAAATTCTGTTTGCAGAAAATTCTGAAACCATTAAAATGAACATTGTGAATGTGATCTATCAACAACTTTACCTAACTGCAATTTGACTGACATATATAATAATCATTTCTGCTTCTGAGATGTCTTAGTAGCTCGTATTTCCCGAAGGAATCAGAAGGACCACTAAAAATCCTGCGGACCAAAACCTGAAAACTTGAAATGTCTCAAGTGTAATCATCAAATCCTTTTCTGATAAAACACTTGTATAGATAATGTGAGAATCTCGCACAACTAAGGAACAAACATCAACCACAATTGGACTCGGAACAAAGCTAGACAAGCAGATATTTTTCTAAAGAGGAACGCGTTGCTTGCATGTGGAGGTCGATTCGATTCGTAATGAACAGCAATTTCTTTTCCAAGTATTGACAGTACCTTTAGCTTCATAGCGGGTGGAAGATCTTCAATCTCGCTGTTGCCATCACCATCGTCAGGTTTCTTCTTGACCGCAGTATCGAGAGCGGCAACACAACGACTTGCCAGCATAGTACGAATGAGATGCTCACCTGACCCTGGACAACAATACGATGAGAAACGTATTTAAATAAAACTGCGCATAACCTATAATATAGGCATCGTTTGTTATCTCAAATTCTAAATACTGCCGCAATGCCTTTCTAACCCGCTGAACGCTTAACCACCTAATACTATCAGTCGTTTATTAAATCATGTTGATGTTCAAATAAATGTTTAAGCGAACATCGGCCCTCGGAAAATAAAAGCATTGATTCTGTACTATGCGTAGGGCTGTATCTACCGTCTAGACACAAAATCGTTGGCTTTCCGCATTTCGTAGGAAAACCTAACTTACCTGACGTAGATACACCCACTGTGCGATTAGCCCAACAGCCCGCTCCGTAAACTCCCGCTTGTCCAACCCGTCCGGGATGCTTGAGAAAGATACCACCGCTAGAGACTCCGGCAGCTATGCGGCCTCTAACCAGCGCAATTGCACCTACTGTATCCATACGAAACTTATTTTGTGAACTTTCTGATTCGCCACTCCCGCCAGGAGCTTGCGAGGGGGTTTCTGTTGCAGGAGTTGCCTTTGCACGTGCTGCAGTAGTCGCGCCAGCCATGTATTTTGCATACATCTGCAATAAGAGCGAAATGAAAAGCCTACGACTTGAATTAAATTTGAGCAGGCAATCATTTTCTGTTTACAGCCATACTGCCTGATTAATATGACAAGTACCGTCGAATGCAAATGACGACAACATTAGGCAACGACCGTTATCAGAAAAGTACATGCAATATCCACGCAGATTCTAGCTACTACAAGGAGAACTTAAATAGTAAATTAAAATGCAAAGTGAGCAAGTTTATTGACCTTTCTCTGTTGACCTGTAATGAGCTCTTTTTCAGGCATCTCTCCGCCATTTGCCCGGAACCATGAAAGTGCCCCAGGACCAACGAGGCAAGCAGGACTTTTTGGCTTAGATACCATTTTCTGTGTGATCAGGATCGCGTTGGAGACCGAAGGAACGGCGCCAACAGATCCTCCGCGCTGAGACCACCCCTCGATAAGGCTCGCATCGCATTCAACAACACATTCGCGATTAACGTTGGCACCTAATCACATCACAGCAAATCAGTGGGTATTAATGCTTGCTTGGTTCCTTCAGTGGCAGCAAAAGCCTTAACTATTTCACAATATGCTTCACAAAGTAGTCTTTAGCCAGGTGAAACAATTTTGAATTAGCTACATAACAAGTTAGATCGCCCTTCTGGAAGGCGGCTGCGACCTTTATTGCTTACACCAATCTTTCAACGTAAGAATGGGCATATTGTGATAAAAGGTAACGCTGCAGCGAAAAATATTTCTACAGCTCTTCAACGGCAGCACATCGCTGCAGGCCTAAAATGAAATTTCAGGAAAGCTGTAGAACTACTTGATTGAAATGACGATGGTAGATTAATTGTCGTTAGATCGGTGTGTGTCAAGCCTCTGATCCTGCAAACACTTTTTCACGCTCTGTATACAAATAGGAGTTGCAGTAAACGTACCCGTTCATAAGGTGAATTTAGTTGGTGATAAGTAACTTTGGAAATGTTTAAGTAGTTTTGTTTATTCACGTAGGACACGTACTGAAGGCTTAATGGTGATTCCCTGTATCAATGTGGGCCTTTATCAAGCTACCTGAGGATAGTCCGTTATTGAGCTATTGCCATCGTATTTAAACAACTGACCTGTTCCAGCATTGGTGTATGGGCTTTCTTCTAAAATGCGAATGGCTTCAACAACGGCTGCCGTAGGATCTCCAGTAGCGCATCCAACCAAGCGGCCGCCATGTGCTGCTCGCTCGCAGAGCTCAGACACTTCTCGAGCGGAAAGTTCACTACGACGCCCAACTCCAGCGTGAACTATCACTATTGCATCTGGAGAAGGCATCTTTTGCGATATGAGCAATTTGGCTATAACAAGACAAAGCCAGGTTACGACACGCGCGACAATCTGCAATAACAAAAGTCGTATCGTGATTGACGGGTTATAGCAGGTTTCTCGGGATCTGCAATCGACCGCTAAGATAACCTGGTTCTCCTCGTGTACGAAGACAAAAATAATGGATTGAAAAATCATTGATAGATCCTGTCAAGAAATAATACGTGTGCCATAAAATGGCTCAACATGTTTATACAGTGATTTTGAAGAAAATGGATGGATACAGAATACTATTGTTAAATATTAGTATTTTATTACAAAAATTATTGAGTGCCTCACAAAAAAAAATCGGTCGAAGGTCATGCCAACTCAGTTTAAAACAAATCACTGGTAGAGTCACTTTAGAAGTTACTTTACATCTCTGCCAATGCAGTGGTGGACGCAATACGTGAAGTGCTTTTCTTTTTGCAGTGATATTGATTATTCACACATGATTATTATCAACAAATAAGAGTGAAGTAAATTTCTGCTTTACTATGTGAAGTCAATGTAGCAAGGAAAGCTTGAAAACTCTACAAGATGTAAGGCGAATTCGTTTTGTCATTCTCACCTACAAAGGACGAAACTGAACACGTATTTTTGATAAAACTAACATTCACGCTTTTCAACAACAACACCAACAAAAATTATATCTCTCATTGAACCAATTTCATTGATCGAGTCGCGCCCCTTTAAAGTAAGCCAAAACCACAAATTTTAAAACGCATCTTTCATCTTTCGTAGACAAAGTCGTTTGTCAATCTGCTAACACTTTCCTAGTTTGTATTGTATTTTAGCGCGCTTCTAGACCTGTCTCTCCCAGGGTCTCCGTATACAGAGCAGCGGTGCTGCAATCTACCGCTGCGCGAATTTACCACAACACATTGCTGTATAGGCTGCAATCGTGCCAAGCTTCCGTGAATTTGCCGCATAGGATTGTGACGAATCCGGTAAAATAATTTGCCACTGCGTATATCACAATGGCCCCTACAGGCCCACCTCCGACCGCTGGCGATGAGCAGATCCAACAGTTCAAGGATTTCCTCATGAACTATAATAAACTGACAGAGTTGTGCTTTAACGACTGCGTGCACGATTTCACCGGTGGGTATGGTTCGTTTTTATCAATGTGAAGCCATGTTCGGAATTCGATATTGGACAAACGACTCGGGCTTTGTACTGTGAAAGGTGTTCGTTATGTTGTGGTATGGTGTATGCGGTGCACAGCAATATATATATATATATATATATATATATCGTGCAGTTCATCATTGGTCAGGAAAGAGTTCAAAAATAGAACGTCATAAGACTGCTCCTATTCCTTTTTTAAATAGTCATGAGAGAGTGACGTCATATGGCGCCAAATTTGACTGTCTAACCTGTTACCAGTTCAATTTATTAGTTTCTCATGCATGTTTGTATTTACGATGGTATTCTAATAATTAATGTTAATAACTAACAAAACCAGTGCGCAAATGTTAGACATACCAGCTCTGCGGATTAATGGTGGTTCCTTAATTGTAAAAGGAGAAATAAGCTAAACCGTTTGCATCTGAGGTCCTGCAGAAGTAAGATGACTGATAAATTTCAGAGCTGTCTTATTCAGGTGCACTTTGTCTATAGCTTAGCCTAGCTTAGTATTTTGTACGCACGAGTTAACATGTAAATAATATGTCACCAGAATTTCTGTTTTCGACGAGTATTAATTGCGTAGAGGGATTCATTTTGAAAATAAGTTGATCTTCTTGTAGCCGCTTAGCTGAACGAGAACATTGTTTAACCGTTTCAAGTATAATCGTTCCATTATTATTGTTGCAGTCCGGACAGTTCGCGATAAGGAAGATAAGTGCTCATCATGGTGTATGGATAAATACCTCAAGATGAACCAAAGGATCATGCAGCGTTTTCAAGAATTTCAAATGATATCGGATGAGGGTGCTATTGCTGCAGCTGGTGGAAAAGTTTAGCTTTGTCAAGGATGAGAGAACATGTTTAAGTATGTTACATAACCGTTGAATATATGCGCTGGTAGTTTCTACATTAAATATGAAATTAACAGATTGATTGTATATATATATATATATATATATATATATATATATACATATACTAAGAGTAGTGGGAATCTTTCTACCGACAACAGACATACGCTTTCAAACGCACACACACACAGAAGTGCAATGGGTTATATATATGCATACCGTGTGCAGGTGATGAAAATGGCCAGTAGCGGAGAATAGGAATGTTTTATAACTAGTAGACCAGATATAAACAATGATCTTATCGATGGATGGTGAATCATTGTCAGCGAACAATTTTTGAATGATGAACAACAACAACAACAACAGCTGTGTGTCATTTATTCATTATGCGTTTTTGCTGGAGTTATAATGTACTCGTGTAAAAATAACATTCTCGGACGATGAACGGCGTAATAAAGTAGTAATTATGAAAACAAAAGATGCGTCATTGCATCCTGACTAATTACAATAGAAAATGTTTTGAAAAAGATTCATTGAATACACAATGTCGTGAGCGCCAGCGCACCTGTCACACTCTACAGCCCATTACGGTGCGCTGAAGAGAAAGTTTTGGATCTTGTATAGTGCTAAGTCCCTAATAGATTGACTTGTTCAATATGAAGCCTATTTTTATATAAATAAAGGTTACTTCCGAGTTATACGAGCGTATGAGATCTTAAAATCAATATGAAATATGCTAAAGACTATTATATACGATGACATATTCGTGAAAAGTTTCTGAATACCTTGGATAAAACATTTTGAGGCCTAATGTTGATACAGTTGCATGTTCCTCACATATTGGATGTTCGTAAAATCGCCTACTTTAGTAGGTTCCGAAAACACAAGCGAAAAAGATGACGGTGTTTATTGCCTGCAAGCTTGTTACGCACTTTCTGAGATTTCAACTTATATAAATATAAAGTTGAAATCTCAGAAAGTGCGTAAAGTAAAAAATATGAAGTATAAATATATATTTATACTTCATATTTTTTACTTCCGGGCAACAGGCACCTAGAATAAATCCAAAACTTTGCTCATTCGACAGATTTCGAAATTCTCAATAAGATATTCTTCTCTATAGCGTTTTTCGAGTCATTTCAGCGCTCTTTTTTAACCTTCGCGCGCGTCTAACTCCAATTTTTTAATAGTAATCAAAATTAAGCTGTAAAACTGCATAGAAGGAACAATAGCAAATATTATAAATATAATATATAATATGTTATAAACATATTCTATAATGATTATTAAAATATATTTATTTGATAAATGTTTTCAAACTATTTGTTAATTTCTTCGTTTGCCATTCATTTTCTACGCAACTAGATTTAATTTATGTAACATCTATTATAGTTTCTCAAAAACATTCGATATAAATCATACGCGTCTCCATAAACGTCACTGAACTAAACAAAGAAGTAGAACGAGAACGAGTTTTGGATTAGTAGTAGTCATGATTTCACATCTATTGTGTGGACTTTGCTGTGCTCAACATGTATAAAAATGGGTGGTTAGAATTTAAAATACACAACTCCGGTAGCCTTACAGAAAACTTATTTACAGAAAAAATTTATTTAGAACGAGATCTGACGATTTGGTCTCCTTTCATCTCCTGCCTCAAGCTGCTTGTCAAGAAACGTGCAGGAATACGTATCCGTTTTTGGGTGATCACCTAGGGTTCTAAGAAAAAAAAACGGCATTATATTACGTACTAATGTATGTGTACCTTTCTTTCTACAGAGGTAGTGGAAAATCAATTAGCTAGTAGTAGAGTTTGGGTACCGCACAATCAGAGAATTATAGTAGCCTTAAAAACATCTGCCTCTAAGGGAATAGTGTCTCTTCATGCCAACAGATTGATATTCAACAAATACCCACTTGAAGCGAGCGCACAGTTCGTTTTTCTCGTAAAAAGCAAATATAAATAACAGTATTAGTAAGAAAAAATTAAAAACTCAAAAAACTAGACACAGTAAGTCTATCCTATTGAGCCAGGTGTGTACATTTTCAGTATTGCGTACAATATTATTATTTTATCTATTATACTACGTTTACGTGGAAAAATCAAGTTTTTGATTTTCTTGCTTACATCCTAGGCATCTACTGAGATAAATGCGATAAAACAAGTTGTGCCCCACAGCCTGTACAGACATGTTTTAAATCCCTAAAATGCACTGGTATACCTTCGAATGTTGTATAATCATCGGTAGCGTTTTTATGAAGATGAAAGTGTTTTACACTGTGCTTCGAAAGCTTCGGGAGGGATCTCATATTATTCGGAGAGTTCTATTCTTGAGGAGATCGAGAAGCTCGATGAACTTTCACAATACACAATCGGCTTAGATAATTGTTCAACTCGTTTCATATTGGCCTTGATTTGTTCGACTTTTCGATTAATTAGTTCATTTCTTTCTTTTTGCTTACTGCTCTTCTTAGAACGATCCTTTGCTTTTCCGCATTTCCTACATAGAAATATTTGATGAGTATTTGAATTTTTACTAGCTACTACGGATGTCTTACTCTTTGGATCAGGTTTAGTTGCTCCAGGTTCCGAAGAAGCACATTTAGGCCCAGGATCTTTAGCCGCACCAGCCCTGGCAGGAGGAGTTGTCGATGGGACATCTTTTGTAAGCGAAATATCTGTTACAGGACCCTTCGGTTCGAGTTGTTGTACCGGAGCCACTTTTGCAGCTAGATTTTTCACTGTAGCACACTTCACTGATAGATCAGGCGGTATTGGAGCGTCATTTAGAACTTTGTTGGGCGCGGGTGCATCCTTTAATGGAATATCCTTTACGTACGTGCTTTCCGCCGCGACCTTAGCTGGCCCTTTGGTTTCTACTTTAACTTCTGTCTCATTTTTCGACTCAGTGTGGAATGAAGTCTGAGTAGCAATCGAGCCAGGCGTTTGAAGCTCTCCAGGGTTCAGTGGTGATTTTCTGGGGCTTACTCCTGGAAAACCTTTGCCAGTATACCCCTTCGGACTATTAGAGTCAGTTCCACCGGTACCGCCTCTTGCCGACTTTAGTTGGTGCCGCTTTTGCCTTGGCTGCTTTATTGCGCCTTTAGGCAGTCGTTCTCGGGAGCATCTTGGAGCCCTATCGTCTTTCAAGCGAGACTTCGTTCGAACCTTAAGACGACCCGGGGCGGAATTACCATAGGCAATAAAATTGGACCCACTAACGATGAGCGGCTTCATAGCTGACTCCTCAGTACTTTGGTCTTCTCGAGCAATCCTGGCATTCTTAAGTTCAGCACGAATCACCTAAAAAGTTATAAATAACCATGATTCATATGGGAAAAACAGCTCATAAAGCCGTTTCTATTTGGCAAAGGGTTGATCAGCTCGGAACCGCAGTGCATTTTTTTTGTTAAAAAAAATTGAATAAGTTAAGTCGCCGCTTGCCAAGTCTTAACCCTATCCCTATAATGCTCGAGATATAAAGAAATACAGTAAATTTTTCAAAGGTAGCCAAAATTACAAATATTGTCCCAAAATGAGTTCACCTGACCACTTCTGCAAATTAATCGAAGACTGAATTGAAGCCAATTAAACTTACATTTATTTTAATGAATGCGATGGCATTGTACTGCCTACGTTAGTTGCCATCTATCATAACAGAACGTATGTTCTATCCATCTATATATATGCACTTGTGTGCACAAACAATTAGAGTACCTCATAAGAATTCGAGAAATCTGGCTTTTATCTTGCTGTGTTTACCTTTTCGGCCTCACTGTCCCTTGTGGGATATAGGTCAGTGCTAAGCATCGAATTGCTATCTTTCAATGGTTCCTTTGAAGCCTCCGGTTTCGCGTCGGATTTGTCCTTGTCTTTCTGTCTGGACTGGGTCGATGAGGTGAGCGATACGATGCTCGAGTCATCATTGTTTGGTTGTGGATTCGTGGTTCCTGCTGCTTTGGCAGCATTTTCGGAAGGCTTTGTACTACAACCGGACCCTATTAGGCGTCTACCGCGTCCACATCTAGAACGTTTCTCGCGATTTTGACTTGACATCATCTACTAACAATTTTGCCGATTTGGCCGTTATTCCACCTCGTTATTCACGATTTTCTAATGATAGATATAAGACAGGGATTTCGAGTTAACATTTTTACGAAATCACGTGTTGCCAGTCAATCACCCGTGTTCTTGATATATTTTTAGGTTAGTGCAAACGGAGAAGACTGGCTGGCACCGGACCTATAGTCGGCGTAAGGTTACGCGTTCAATAACATGCCTATCTTTTACGTAAGTTGGTTTCATTGTTGAGAACCTAGACAGACTGGATTGGACCTACGCGGTCTTCGATGCAGAATTTTGCGAAGAATTATTCTGTTAAAGAGCTAAGTGGGGTAGCTTACAAATGAAGTCCCGTAAAATATAATTCTATACATCTCTTGTACACATTTGCATACATCAGAGATTTACAACGAAAATCAATATGGTGGAAAATTTTGACGCATACTAGTATTTTTAGCTCCAATCTAGGACATCCAGGATGGGAAACACTGTCTGTGCTGTGATAATCGAGCTAAGCAATTCCGGAACACCATCTGATTGCCGAGGTTAAAATTCATCTGCTCCACGTATGTGCCACAGTCTTGCTTAGAGCAATATTTCTTACTAACCAACGAATAAGGTTATCTCATGAATCTTGGCTTTGGAAACTAACTTGTATTAGATATCATGAAGAAATATTGGCCAGATGCATTGAACTAAATAAGTAAAATTGTTCAAAGCTACAACAATTGTAATTGTGACTGTTGCAAACGATTATAATTGTCTGTTCCCATCGATTAAGATCATGTAGTCATTTTCGCAAGTCTTGTTTGTATTTTAATATATATTAATAATAATATTTTAATATCCAAATCAAAGTAAGTATAATTACTTTGATTTGGGAGCGGAAAAGACTGGAGAGTAAAAATAGCACAGAAATCAGTAAAAAGGGAGCAGAATGTGATTGATTAACAGGGTATCAACTGAGTGAACTGCTGCATTTTCCTTCAGAACCACTTGCACAATACCTGAGTCGAAGCCAGCTTGATAATAAAAACGCATATTCGCTCTATGTATGTAGTTGTCGACTGACAAAATTGTTTTATTTTTATTTTTTTTTTATCGTCGATCTGTTTGGTGTATTTGTTTTTATCTTTTTCATTCTTCATATCAAGACGTTCACCTAGTTTTTTTTTTCTTAAATTTCTTCGTACAGTTATTGACAGTCTGTATTTCCTTTTCATTATCATAAGTGTCTTCATTACCATCATATTCTCATAATTACTCGTCTTCGTATTATTATTAATAATTATAATATTTTATATCATTGTCGTTATATATATATGTATATATAACTATCTAGACAAAGTTGTCGTTTTTATTATCAATGTCGGTATGTCTGTCCGCCCAACTCTGTCTGTTGTATATACTTGTGGAAAGCTTATTATTTGATTCGGGATCCTTGTATTCATCTATGTATGTACGACGCGTATGTGATAGCATTACAATAATTATAATAATTACTGATACTATTTGAATTACTACCCCATTGCTCTTTTCTTTGCCCCGTTTCTACATATATTTATTTCTTCTTTATTTATAGCTGGTATCTGCTATTATGAGTTGCGATTTTCTCACTTACTTGCGGCCGGCTGATTTATATGTGTATATGTCATGACCGACCTCTTGCCCTCAGCTGTACTATATAGCTTATAGATTAACTAAGCCCTTGTTTAGACTGCACATTTTCTAGGCAAGAGAGAAAAAATATTAAACCAAATCTCACGAGATTAGGATTTGCCTCTTGCACTGCCATCGTTGGCGTCCGTCGTCTTGACATTTCTGCCACCACAAATCACATTAATCTTAGAACACCACATCATGTGTCCGCCTGAATCTGAACTGAGACGTAGACACAGCTTCTTCTATACTTCCCAGGTATTTCCACCTTGCCCTTAACCGTTGTCGGTTAATCTGCATTTTTACGAAAAGGGTCTGCTCACATTTGTGTAATTGTACTCCGAAAACAGTATCCTACGGTTGTTATAGGACCGCCTCCATGTTTACTTCAGCACCTCACGGGATTCCCATAGCTAACAACGCTTGCCCGCTGTGTTCACTTTTCCAAGGTTCACAAGTTTACAAATCGGTTAGATTTGGGGCCCGGCCTGGTGGTGAGCACAAGTGGATAGGGTCGTTAAGTGTAACAAATAAAATAAGAGACCTTGCTTCAAAGAAACACGATCAGTATTTAAATTCGTCTGCTTAGCGTAACCCATCGCTTTTAGTTTCAATAGCGCAAACTTCTAAAATTGTATGATTTACCATATGCTTCACAATGGCGTGTATTCCTCGGTGTCGTATTTTAACCTTTTTATGGCAAGTGAAGTTAGCTGCTAAATTTTCTGACAGCAAAACACTGTAGACACTTTAGCACTAATTAGGGCAGTATCAGTAGGAATCTTTTTTTTTTTAATTTTTTTGTTTTTTTTTGTTTTTTTTTTTAGGACAGCGCTTTGTATGGAGAAAGCTTAAAATGGGAAATTTCATCTGTCCACAGACCTTACAGCAATTTATTTAAAAGCACTGTCGAACGCTTCTTACACATCTCAAGCCAAAATCCAAAGAAGGAATTACATTTCAATAGCTGAAACGCCATTTGCATGAAGATTCAAGTTTTCTCTTTATGACACACGTAAAAGGTATATCATCCTACTTAAATTCACGTACAGCTATTGTTAAGCGGACTGATTCATAGATCTTATTTTATAATAGTTGTCTTCAGCTGTCGCAGGTCCAGCTGAGAGTTTTTATATTAATATTGGGCCTAGTCACATGCACATCCGAATGATTTGTTCAACTCAATAGAAATGCATCTCAACTTGAATTTTTGCTATTCGTCGACGAGTCTTTCGTTATTGTGTTAAAATCAATCAAATTTCGATACCTTGGGATCACGTGGCGTTTGATTGTTGTAATAACAACTACCTAATTCGGGCATATACGGCAAAAAGCTCGAGGTGTCTACGTTGAAGTTTACCGAAATAAGAAAGTAATTTACGAGAAGCATTCGTGAGTCCTTCTTCCACCAGGATGCGCTGTTTTGGTTTTTGCGGTATCGTCAGAATACCATCTATTCATGAAGTCACACGAGAAATTAATATTGACCGTGTGTCTTTGTTTAATCAATTCTGTATATCTTAAAAGTATTCGCGTTTCATCTCGTCAGCAATACTATTTCATCAATTATCAGTCAAGCGTGCTTTTTATAGACAGAGCAGCAGTATGTATATAAAAGTTATTATAACCAGTCATACCATCTTCTTCAATAATACAACCGATGTATGTATCATTGCTTCATCAGCACCGACAAAGACGACTTTGTTATTACCAACGCACGCTATAATAACCGAGCTAAATTTTCTATCGATTTTTCCCGAAAATATTCGTCCGTACTTGTCGTTCATGGGGTCATCGGGCAGCCCCAGATTATCTCATCTGTAAGCTATAATTTTACTACAATCAGAATAGCAATGATTCATGTAGATGCACTATCTAACTTCATACGAAACGATCTATCACACTAGAAGACCACGTCGAATAGAGCAGGGGGGGGGCGGGGGGTCGGGTAAAAGGGTTTTAAGAATGAAGACAGAACGCTCTCCCAATGTTTAACTGTTGTATGCTCCAGTTAGTCTGAGTAAGTTTTTTTATAGGTGCGCGCAAAAACAGGGTGAGATTGACCATACATTCACAGAACAACCACAAGCGTCAAAGCATACTGAGTTATTTATAAGGAAATCATCAACGTTGTTGCCAGCTGTATGCTTCAAGGGTTCTATTAAGTCATTTTTCGTGTCTTCACTCGAGTTATTAAATATTTCTCTACGTTAGTTCATATTCCATATCAGATTTATAATGATTTGTGCATATGCATTGGCGAACTATATAAGCTGACAGTCATAGTAGTCTTAGACTCAGTCTGTCATCACTCCCTTGATCGCTCTCTCTCTCTTCCCTAAATTCTGCTGGTCTAGCTCATTCGGTTTTCGTTTCACGACTTGCTTTTTACTTTTCACAATCTGACTTCGCTGAGCGCCAAGTGCTGATTGATTTACCATTCTGTGACTGGCTTCATGGCAGATAAAAGATCCGATTTTCCATTTTGTTTCATATTTATCCGATAACGAACTTCATCGCTGAATAGAGCTATCGGCATCAACGAGGCATCTGATTTCGCTCTCTTGTGATATTTCATTATCTGCAAACGATCTCGCTTTGCTCGTTCAGTTACAAAACTATAAGTCGTGACCTAGTTGTTAATGACCGAGGCCAATCCGTGTCGCGAACGTCTCGCTTGACTATCCCCGTATGTGCTTCACACCAAAACGTCAAGCTAGTACAAAAACAAAGGACCTCACGTTCAAGACCTCCCCCCAGCCTCTAACCCCCAATATGGACGCTATTATAATACACATAGTCATTATATATATATATATATATATATATATATATATGGTTGGCGACATCACATCCGGCTGTGTGCAGGCGTGTTTATCACCACTTCATTACTTGTCCTCCTCCCCTCGACTCTGCTACAGAGTTATTCTTTGAAAAACTTCGTTTCTACATTCAAGTTTGTATCTGCGAAAATATTTGGCTTACTGAAGCTATGTATATATGTGTTGTGTGTGTGTGTGTGTGTGTATATCAGTTCTATAGCAGATACATACCAGTTGTGTACATCCGAGTCTGATGAACAGTACAAAATAATCATAGAGCTGAACAATCTCAATAGATTGCTTCCAACATGACTATGGATGTAGCATACTCCGACGTACTAACAACTTTTTCGGTCGCATATATTGGAACAGTCACACTCATATTGATTCTGTCCTGGACGGTCATTTCCGTTCCGGCTATTACGTGTTAAGCGTGTAGCAAGAATATTAGAAATAGACCGGTACCCACAATTGTATGCAGGCTATTTTTCTGCTACATTTCGGCTGTTCCATCTTTCGTCTCGGCCGTATCCGTTTGTTTCTATGCGGGTTTCTAAAGTTACGAAACGTGCAATTTTAACCCATCATCGGAATCTGCTGTCACCTTAATCTGCAACGGCTGTTAACTTCAACTTTTAGCCAGAAGACGGGCTGGTAGCTCTGTTATAACTTCACCGTTTCCCATGCCGTTAGTATTTGAATAAACTGCTGTGTTCGTGCTATGGTACTTTTCTGTCTCTATGCATTCGTGTATATATGTACTCGCTGTCCGGTATCGACTTCGTGTTCGATACTACTTTTGCCGCCGGCTCTGGCTTTTCGTGGTAGAAAACTGAAATCGCCTCTCATTAATTTTTCCTTATGACATATATCCTTTGAATTTTGTGGCTTTTCATTTAGAGTTTATATTTCGAACCGTTCCATCCGCTCTATATGGTGAGAAGTAGCTGTGTTAAGTGGCTTGTCCATGCAAAACACCACGAGGACGGCTACGATGGCCATCAGTCATCATCAAGTTCGGCAACTGATTTTCTTGCTGCCTTCAAAAGCATTCCGTCAGTAGTCCATTTCTATCGATGGTGAAGAACAGGGTCAGGGTGGGTACGTTATAGTTCCTTCTGTGATTTTTTTGCTCATGATCTTTTTGTCTTTGTTTACTTGTTCGTTTGCCTTTTCGATTCATCTGGCCTAGGCATGACTGGGCTATACCTGTAGTCGTTACTTAATGGTGGAAAACAGGGTCAAGGTGCTCCTGGCAATATGAACTTTTGCATGCTCTTCCATATATGTTATATAACTATGTTACTGTAATTACTGTCATCGGAATCAAGCTTGTTATTATAATAGTAATAACAATTATTGTGTTATTATTGTATTTGTTCACCAGTAGACGCGGAGGCAGTTGCGATTGTGAGTTATATACAAGCGCAGCCGAATTCCCAATGTCATTCGTCATTGGTATGGGCGAGTTGCCTACGTTGCAACGAATCTTCGACCGTCTGCAGGGTGACATCAAAATGACCGTTATGGCCGTTTCGGTCTTGGCAATGCTCATGACCATATACGAGCAGATCGGTCTGCGAACGCACTGTGAGGTTTGGTGTTGACAAGCTGCGCTTCAGACCGCCAAGCGCCTTCGTTGCAGCTACGCTAAGTGCTGATAGCGCGGCCAGGTCGGGATTGAGCGCGGCAACCAGTTCGGCCAATTCCTGTTTGTGTCGCTGTTGAAGGGTCTCCTGCTCGCGACGTTGTCGGCTGAAAAGGTAAGCCAAGCGTTGAGCAGGACTCAGAGCGGGATTCTGCTCGGCTGACGGCAAGGCCTCGCAGTGGTCTACCAGCGAATAGAGTGAATGTTGTTGGCAGTTGACCGAGTTTTCGGTCGTGTACACCGATGTCTTGTCGAGTGCCGAATCGATCAGCTGATTATCCTCGACACGTGATACCATAAATCGACTGATCTTACTCGGGCCGTCGAGGGAAGCAGAAGTCACCGTGGCCACCCCTCCAATCCCACCGACTACACTTATGACACTTTGTTGCTGCTGCTGCTGCTGCTGTTGCTGCTGCTGCTGCCCATGGCACTGTGGCTGGCCTGTTCCAAGCGGTTCCGAAAGCAGCGAAATAGTCGAGAGGGCGGGTTCTACGTTTGTTAAACCCAGCTCCTCGGCGACCTTCGTTACTTGAAACCGCGACACCTTTTTCGACTCCTCCTGGGCCGGGCTGAGCTCGGACACCGTCGCGGGCGTGTCAACAGAGACGCCCATGGCAGGAGCAGCCACGAGAGTCTCCTCGGATGCCTGTCGAAGGCCGTTGTCGGCCGGCGGCCCGGGCTCAATCGGCGCTGGAGGCAAGGGCATGCCAATACCCGCAGCAACGATACCGTTGCCATTAGCATTGTGGTTGTTGTTACTGCCAGCGTTGCCACCGGAACTAGCCAACTGATTGACCGCCTGATTGATTTGGCTGACTTGATTGAGCGGTAAAGCTAGCGGCGCTACAGGCTCGTTCGGCGGGCTGCTTGGTTGTGTCTGCGGATGGAAAATTGCCTGTAAGCCTTGCTGTAGTTCGATGCCGGTCGTTTTCTCTTTCGCTTTGCTACCTTGTCCGCTAGCCGTTGTACTCTGGTTGTCGAGAGCGGGAATGGCAGGCGTCACCGGATGTACTTTCTCGGGCGGTGCCGCCTGCAAAGAATCTCTTCCCACTGGGGGTGGCACCCCACGAACGTCCGGCCCGTTTGGAGGCGTGTCCTGCAGCACGTGCTCCGCACTAAGATGTTCCTGACCCGGGGCAATTGCTTCCTGAGGAAGTACAGCTTGTTGTTGCGGCTGCTGTTGCTGCTGGTTATTTGTTTCTGCTAGCTTTAGTTCGGCTAGCTTAAGCTGCAAGTGATTGCGTGCAGTGTCACTGAGAATTTGCGCCAGAGGCGCAGTTGGGGCAGCAGCGTGTTGTGCGGGCACGGCGGGCGTCGCCGCCAAACTGGCCAGCTCAGACGTGGGGATTGAACTGCGGTCGAGGGTGCAGCCCGATGGGTTAGGTGTTGCGTGGCTTTCGGATACGTCGCGCGTGCTGTCCGCTGTAACGGCGGCGGAATCCACCTTGGATCGATCGGGCGAAGCCAGTCGCGACGTTTGCTGAGAGCACTCGGGCAACGCGGATCGTTCACGTTGGCGACGCTGCGGTGAGGCGAGATTACTGCCCTCGATGACCTCAGATTCGCTGGTCTCTGGTTCATCCGGTTCTAGTTCCTGCTCTTTTGTGACGGGAATCTTCGTCGGATTCTCTTTGAGCTGTATAATGATATCATCTAGCTGCTGCGCAAACGAGTCCAAATGTTCGACCGCAAGATGTTTTTCGATAACGAGGTTGTTGGCAATATCGATCGACGAATCATACTCGGTGAAATCGAATTTAAATGTTACAAGCTTGAGGTTAGGAGCGTCGAAAAGCACTTCGACAATGTTGCCTTCTAATGAGATTACTTTAAGGAAAGGTGTCCGATCTTCGACTTCGTCCGGTCCGCTGTTGGGGCTGCGTTTTCGTTTGGACTTTCGTCGAGGGCGGTCGTGTTCTGGCAGGTCAGAGTTCTCACTTGCCGAATCGATACATGAGTCGTCATGAAGCTGAAGGGATAAAAAGACATTCTGTTGACGGGCCATTGTCCCCATCTGCTGCTGCTGCGCATGCTGTGTGTTCAACACTGGAACTGGAACGCCACCGGGAAGTTCTGGCATCGCCATAAAAGCTTCCTAGAATTGAAACATCGTTTAGAACATAGATCAAAAAACAACATAGATCAAGCGTTACTAGATTGTAGATTATTTGTGAAAAAAAACTTTTTCCATTTTCATTATAAAGGTGGCGTGCATAAATAGGTAATGCATATATGCATTTGTATGTAACATTTGTGTAAAGCTCATGTGATCGACTGTGCGCAAAGTTAGATGTGATATAGTGAGTAACAGCAGATAAAAGGAGGTCTACCTATCATTTACTAGGTTTTTGATCAACTGAAAAAGTACATGTATTTATGTGAGCCACGACGCGGTCGCTTTCGTGCTTGTGGTCACCAGCAGAAAGCGCTTAGAAAAATGCTTGTAAAAGTACACCAACAAGCAAGACGCTAGAAGGTATACTTAAACAAGATTATTAGCCCTCAACAGAGGTCATTTGAAGGCTTAGTGACTTATTTAATGATCATAAATACACAGTGCAACTGGCTTGTACCGGTTGCTCAATATCGCAATACCACAATCTGGTAATTCTCCTCGCTCAGATGAAATCTTCCATCTTGACGACAAAGAGACACCATTCTCAAATCAAATCCTTTTTTGCTCTATTTCTCGTCTTAAGCGATTGACTCAATGGGAAATAAGCACACCCACCTCCTCCAGCTGTTCCTGAGCTGTCAAATTACTGTTCTGATGTTGAATTTTACTTATATTCTGTGGTGTCATCACGCTTTGAGCCTGAATAACAACGGCCGTAGTGTCCTGAACGGGTGTAGGAGTCACGGGCAACTGTGGCAGGGGTTGTGGGACAGTATTCACACTGGACAACGGTGGAACAGTCATTAGCAGGGAGGCCGGCAATAATGCCCCATTTGCATGGGCTGTGGGGTCTACAGTTAACTGCATTGACACCTCATTAATTGGGGCAGCTACTACCGGGGGGCAATCCTGGACAGGGCTTTGGTGCACGACAAGTGCAGCAATGCCCTGTGTGCATATCGTTTCTACAACCTTGTTTTCATCCACCTATATGAAGTAACATCAAGGGGAAAAACACAGTAAAACAAACTAAAGGTTAACTCTATACGGGCGCGCCTATCAGATCTCATAGTGGTGATATTAGATCGTGAGTGTAGATTTGGCACAGGCTGGTTTTACGTTGTTTGATAGGTATTTTAAGCATCGTGTGCTATTAGTGTGCTTTTTAATTATAACTCAGCTTCTCCAAATGTATGCCAAAAGTCTAGAACGGTTTTGTGCAAAGAATAATGTTAACTACAATATTTTTATTGAAATTTGTAAGCGAATCTGGCTGCATACTTCAAATCGTATAAAATACTACAATCTAGGAGTGTTGAAGCTTGAACTTGTGTTGATACAACAAGACTTGAAATTTAACGTTCAGTTGAGGTACTTTAGACGGGTGTTGGTACGTAAATAAATGAAGGATAAGATAAACTCTTCCGGAGCTAGATGGGGCCTATTTGAGCTAGGTCTCTTCTTGTTTTATTCACCTTGCTTCAATATTTTATTGAACAACAACAAGTGAAGGGCAAGTTAGGTTACAACTTGCCCTTCACATTGACCATAGTAGTACTCATATAATAAGGATAACGTTAGCATGTGGCGTAGTTTCCGTACCTCATAAAAAGAACTCTCTATGAGATACGGAAGCCGGATGTCCTGAAAAACAATGTATATATATATATATAGATCTGAATTCAGGAAATGTTATTTTTCCAATTTTTAGTATTATGACAAGAAAGAGCTTTTTTTCCTATAAATTTCACCTACAAACAAATGACAGCAGAATGTGAAGGACACAAAAAGATACGTTGCTGTTATTACGTCTATTGGCACGTCATAATAAATCTATTCTATTTGCTATTACACATTTATGGGATAAGGAATGAAAGGTTCCTTCGACCAAATTATCATTAGACATTTAGATCAAAGACTAGAGTCAGCAACTGAGCGTGAGAATGACGGGAGGACAATTTTTTTTTCAAATCTATTGATTGCCTAACCCATCAAATTTGGTTTGCTAACGCTATCGGCTCTGATCCATAAGCATAGGTAAATCCATTTTGACATGTTCAGAGACATCGCAGCCCATCCGGGGCTTTACTACTGCCTGGGCAACTGAATAAACTACCGATTTTCCTCTTGATCTTAACTCAATCAAACAGCCGTGTTATTGCTCGTGACAACATAAGGTTTATCCTACACATTCGTCAACCAGCTATTTTTTTTACTTCATCATCTTGACGCAGCCTTCTGCGCCCAGACACCGCGTAGTCAGCTGAAAGAGAAGCGTCTGCATTATCCGTTCGGTAGTTGCTGTAACTACAGATAAACCTCACAGTCAAAAATAGGTAATTGCCACGTTCTTTTTCAGTTTCCTGTAAGGACAGCAATGAAATTTCCATATGTATATATATACATACATATTTTAGGGAATTGCTTCTCGCAGCGGGCGTTTGTCATTTCGCCGATGTTAGCGCTGAAGAATCCAAAAAGGACTATCATGGCCAAGTTTGAAAACTTTATAGCCAAAAAAAAATCGTTTAAGAAGTGCAAAGTTGAATTTGGATGTTTATTTTTAGAAATGCGCGTGTTGCGACGGTCACGAAGACTTCAGGCCCGTTCTATCCTTATGGGACAGACTGAGACCATACGCCCTTCCAAGACACAAAGTTGACGCTAAAACGCCAGTAAATTAAAAATAGATTTCACATAACTCAGCGCTCTGCAAATAAGGCAGGACTACAATCGAATCCGCTATAGGTGGCGTGTTTAAATGGAGCATCCACGAATCCCGGGGTAGTACCATCGTCGTATCATTGTCGGCCACCAATAAGTGTCGCTCCTAAGTTTCTCGGAGAAAGAAGTTCTAAAAATGGCTTGTGTGGTATATAGATATTTATTTGAAAGCCTGACTGAGGCGAATAGCAATTTCATTGAATGAACACCATTGCGAAGTAAACCTTGCTCTGTATGAAAAGAAATTTAGTTTTTTGAGATCCTATATGCCATCGATTTTACTTCACTTTATACAGACAGACACGTATGCTGCATAACTTCAGACAAACCCGTCTTGCTGTTGTGCTTATGCCAATGAAAATGGAAAAGAAAGATGATCGTACGACTACTCATAAGGTAACAGTGGAAGGTTACAAGACTATACTTAGACTACGAGTACGTACGGTTAGCCTAGAAAGAAACCTAACATTGGATATGTGCCTGGATGTGCCTGAATTTCACTCGCCATCGCTGGCGTCAACCTTTAACAGAGGTAGACTAGAACCGGGCCTCTTTCTCTCTACCAATCTCACCGTTGTCTTTCTTTGACAACTCTCAGCTTTACTTGGCCTTACTTCTCAAAGAGGCGTCATTGCACATTATGGAAGAAATGATTTGATCATTCACCGCCCTCAGTGACCTGCCATAATAAGCCAACGGTGTGAAATCAAAGGGAAGCACCGATGCACGCCACTCGTGTAGGCACGATCTTGCTTCCCGCCACGTTGTGCACGCTGTGCCATGAGCGTGGCAACGTTCAAGCTACCTGACCTTGTGGCCGATGTTTGTCTGTAAACATTGGCGATGGCTATAGAAGCACTACCGGCCCTGCTGCTGAAGGTCCATAATGGCTCCGCCAACAAATCAATTGTTTGCGGCGCCACCAGTGGCAAGGCGGTCATATTGACTCTATAGGTAAAGTCATGAAGACAATTTCTCTAGGTGAAGCTAGCTAATTGTATTCGGTATGCGACACATGTTTCAGATGGCTAATCCATTTTCTAAACTGTGCCTGTTAAGAAGCTTTCCAGTCGGCCCATGATCGCTCGCTCAACGAAGAGAAGATGAAGTTCATATTACGTTTTACTACCAAAGAATGCCATTGAGATGCTATGGGAGTGTAAATGCCCATTGAAGTACTCGAAGAAGGTCGTTGCAAGGACAAAACAAGCGTCTGCCTACCAAGTCAGAGAGTCGTAATATCCGTACGTGTACAAACATGTAAAATATTTGGCTATACTAAGTACCCATGTATACCGACAAGCCGATGTTAAACTAATACGCGTCACTTGACAGACTTTAGTAATTTTAGTGTTATACAGTATCTCTGAGAAATAGACTACACGTTTACTTTTCCATAGGTTAACTGTTGTGGGTGAGAATGATTAGTAGATCGCTCTCGACCTCAGCTTGCTAACCAGAAGAGATCTATATAGTTCAAGAACATCTCGCTGAAAGGTTCTGTAGGTAAACAAACAAGTGGATAACACACACCTGATGGGGCAATAGTTGCTGGACGTTCGTCATCGTCGGTGCGGCCGACTGTGACGCCAATTCGGCCTGCGCAGCCATCGGCCCGCCTTGCTGCTGCTGCTGCTGCTGTTGCTGCTGTTGATGATGATGATGACTGGGTAATGTTGTTAGAGTAGCAGCGTGGTTTTCGACGTCATGCGTTGTACCGGGTGTGGTCGTCATCCCAGCCATATTGTTTGTTGTGACCGATGAAACAGTGGAATGAATTGGTGGTCGAGCCTGAAAGTGTTGTCTGTCTCTGACCATCGAGGCTACCTGATTGCGGATCAACATTGAGACTAGTCGAACATCTTCCTCTCCGATAATACCTGTTCATGAACTCGCAGTTAGGCGTAATATACAATACATGGTAGTAAATCGTGATCCCTGGTTAGTCCAGGTACAATAGAACATGTTTAGACACCTGACAAAGTCACGATTAATGCAGTTTTAGTAACTGACCATGCGGGTCATGGTAATCAGACATTTCAGCTAGGGCGGTTATATCATCAATAAATTTTGACGCGGATCAAATGTTCAGTTGAACAAACTCACGATCCCGATGACCATACTCTAGACAATATTTCGTCGTCGCACAGATAGCTAGAACATTGAGGTATAGACTGCTAGGAAAACAGACCGATGCAGGTGAAAAAAGAAAACTCAGATTATCGCAGAAGTTTGGCTGCCCATTTGGCCTAAACCAAATGCGCAGACCTAATGCAAGCAAGTCACTGTACCTACTATGAGCACCAAAATCGTTGCGATAAGCACTCGAACATTTTTTTTTACTACGGAGCTGTTTCCTATGCATCTGAATGACTGACAATGGGAAGGCCAGCAGACTCCTGTGGCGCTATTACCGACAGTATTATCTCAGAGTTGCCGAACGGTCGTACTAAACAATACAGTCGCAATCGCTGAATCTAATATTAATATGAAGGTCATGATGAAAAGTGTCGTTAAATGTCTATGTAACAGAAACAGCATCTGAGAACGTCATGCGTTAGTTCGAAAATGACATGGGAACCGCTTTTAAAAACGAAATACCAATATGAAAGCTTTTACTGAAGGATGCGCTTACGATAAAAGGTCATCGTGCGTGTACCAACAGGACGCACCCATTTGATTGGGGCAAATCTAGTTATCAAATGAAGTTACTGGCGTTTAACAGATGCATCTACGGGTAAACTAACCTGTGAGCGTGGACATAGCTTTGGCAACTTCGTCAGCCGTATCGATGTCCATGTCAAAATGAAACTGGATAGCTTCATTCTCCTTATGTTTATCCTTGCGTTTCTTCGGATCAAGGATGCGTACACGCATGTCAAGCTTCGAATTTGTTGAGCTCAATGTTTTTTCGCGGTCACAAAATTCGACCTGTTGAGAAAAGACGAAGATGAATTAGTATTTCTGCAGCGAAATGCTAGAGCTCACACAAAAATTACGTCCATAATGATAACAAAAATGACGAGAATAACGGTGATCATTCCTACGGCTTGCCTTGATACCCAGATCGTCCTGGAAGAAGTCCATATGCAACAATTCCTTAATTGTAGGTCGTTCAGCCCTATTTAACCTTATACATTGTCCTATGATATCCTTCAGTTCAGGAGATTCCACCTGAAAACGCACAAGATCAACATTTTATTGTTAGTGGATTGCATTAGAGTTAGCACAATTTGTGGTGTTTAAAGAATAAAGCTCAATACGTTGACTAAGTCCTTATCCAGCTTATCAGGCCTATGAAAAAAGTCCTTTAATAAAGATCTAATCTTTTCTTGCTATTAACGTATGAAAGAACGCATACTAAAATCAGCATACCTCATACCGAAGGCATTTCATCCTCATTGATTATATTAGCCCCTAATGTAAGTTGTGAGATGCATATTTTGCGCCCCTTCGTTTATTGCACCCCGTTGGAGGAATTACCTTTTATGCCCACAAAAGCGTCTATTTGACACAAATGTGACCTATATAGGTGTATGAATAAGCGTATAGATTATAGAAAATGCCTGAACATGATAACAACAATGACGAGAACAGGTTTTCACGAAGGTTATATTGCGCTTGTGCCAGTCATAAACTCCTAAGTCTATTCTTTACCGAAGAGCAATGAAAGGCAGCTTATATTGTGAGCATAACAGTATGTTGCATGTGACAGCATCCAAGTTCTGCATGCAAATGTGGCATAAACGGGTGAAAAACTGACAACTTGTTGAAGAGGCTACGATTCGGGTTTATAACGAAATCTCGAAAAGGACGAACAAAAGTTAGGACAGTTGTTCTAACGTTTACATCTACTCCTCTGCCAGAATCAATCTCGTAGAGACACTACAGGCAAAAATAAGGGGCAAACCGCTTTTTTGTATCTATTTGATATAACCCAATCGATCGGCTGTCAACTCAGACATAAATTCCGGTTCCAGCAGTATGAACATTTAAAAAGAATCCCCGTAGTTTAATGTGAACTAGCACGCTTTGCCACAATCTGTAAGGGTATCCTCGAAATAGCTGACAACAAACGCAAGTGCAACATGTTTCTCATAGCTGCGACGAATAGTCCTGGCCCAATCCAATGGGCACATCTGTTAGGAGAAGCTTTTCCTTGATACGCTGTCTCGTGGAGATTAAATTCTAAACTTATTGGCAAAATTGCTAGACACCTTCGTTCTGCTTGAGCACAGAAGCAACGGAAATGAGATTGTTTCCGTTTGTTTTTCTTGTTTTTTTCTCTTTTTGACAACTTAGTACCCAGGAAAAGGCCTGCATTTTTAGATACGTATCTTTGGCCGCTATGCGCCAGCTTGCACGCCGTTGACCTTTCAAGATTGACTTGCAACTTCGATACACGCCAGATCAAAGTACAGATAATAACCAATGGTAAATGCTAAAAAGTGAAGATGATGCATTGTTTCGAGACATACTCTAAGGTGCTAGCAAAGTACTATAATACGTAGGCGGAGATTACACAAATTTTTACTATGCTCATTTTCATGTATGTTTATGTGTTCACCTATCTGTAGAGTTTGCTCAAAGATGCAGGTCAACAAGATGTAGTCGTATCATTTGGTTTTAGGTCGAATAATATATTAGTACAAACGTGTACGCATTGATTCACTCGCTCAGCCTTCTCATGCTTTTTTTGCGCCCAAGACCGGTGAGGTTGTTGACGCTCAAGGTCGACTAGAATCTAGAACTTAGCATTTGTTGTTACATCAGTGCGAACCGCCGTCATTTTACACGCCTTCCTTGTACTTTAATTATTATAACCGCAGATCTTCCCATCTGTAGACCAAGAAGGTAGCCTTGGTCCATCAGCTTGCTAAGAGGCAGCCCTCTCTGCGATGAAGTCTGACTCAGCATGAAAGAGAAGACGTGTTTGCAGTACTAAAGATGAGCCCTGAAGCCATCGCTTGACAACTTCAAGCGTCACTTGGCTTCGTTCAGCCGTGTCTATTTGCTAACAGCTGAACTGTAATGCGCCATAGCTCTGTTTCATGTCGGCCGTCCTACTGGGCAGAAGTAAAGCAGTGATCTCAATCGACCGCAGCATCTCATAATGATATTGACGGCTGGGGCAAGATCTGATGGCGTTCTTTACTTTACGAGTACTTGTGGAAAAGCCTAGCTGGTATCGGGTAGTCATTGCGGGCAGCCGCGACAACGCTTAGCATGACGCGCAATTACGGCGAAAGCCTCTCGCAGCACATGTGCGTCGGAGGCGAACATGAGTGTCAATTTCAGCTAACCGAACCTCATTATTCTGATCGCAGTAGAGCATCTCTGATAATTCTCTGAGTTAGATAATGGTCAAGTGGAGGAACAACGACCGTCTCAATTCTAAATGTTCAATGTACGCTGAAACAGAACCAAGGCGTTTGCATATTTTAAGGCTAGCAGTGTCATTTTACAAGAGCACGATAATATAATAGTATGAAATTTCGAAGCTACCAAGGACCTGGCTGCAGATCTTTACCTAGTTTTCTACTAGGGGCCAAGAAAGTGTTATGGGCATATAAACGCGGTTTCCTTATTGACGAACCTATAATTCACTATCGTATGTATTCACTTACTTTATCGAAGCACTGGGGACGAGTTCCGCTCGTGACCTTTTTATAGATCTGCGCGGGGCCGGAACACTCGGCATATGGGTACTCTGAGGTAGCCATCTCTAACATACACATCCCTGTAAAAAGATAAAGTATTAAATGCTATTCAGTGTAATTACTACAAAGAATACGTTACTATAAAGTAAACCATAATTTATCCCAAACATCATGGCATACAAGAGTCATAATCGCAACTAGACAGTTTCAGTGATCCCAACAGTGGGCAAAAAAAATGCGCAATATTTTTATGAAAGAACCTCTGGGGCAGCTAGCCTCAACGAAAGCACGTAGCAATTAACTGTGCACGACCGTACAAAGCATTCGGATGAAGCAATTTTAGATTACCAAAACGCAAAATAACAGATCTTTCTAATGATTTTAATGCCAATTACACATTGATAAATTGTCGACATCAGCAATATTTGGAGTAGTTTATAATAACTGTAAAAGTTAAAGTACGTTGATATAGATGTTTTGATCTAACTACGGTAAACATTTTAAGTTAAAAACAGCTGCCTTCAATTCGTAGCCTTCAAGGTAAGATTTTATAGGAACGATATTCAAATCAATATCAACCGATTTTATATTTTTGCAGGCAGGTCGCTAAAAGGCCTAGCGGTTATCGTGTATACTACTACGGGGCAATTTGTGTCTCGTTCAAAATTAGGGATATATTAAGCTTCATCAGGAAGTCTTGAATATCATCCCGGTTTCAAGACTTGAGCCCAAGTCGCTTACACGGTTGAGTCCGCGTTTGCGCGCTTGAATGGCTTCCATTTCGAACTATTCCGTTTTTGTTCATCCTTTTGCGAAACGTGCAGGGTATATAGCAAATAATCTGAATCTAGGCACGATGATATAAATCATGATTCTCCGCTTGAGTGGAATAGTCGAAAAATTACTTAGACCAGGCTTTAGTTGTTCTAAGAGAAAGAAGCCGAGTTGGCCCGAACAGTTGATGCCCTGGCCTTTGGGACAATCGCAGATAGATAAACCCTATTCGACGCTAAGGGCGCTAAACTTCTTCTCGAGTGGAGAAGAACAGTGGCAACATTGGGTAATATACGGCATTGCCGTAACGAAAAAAACAGACACTAATACCGGAGTAAATACATGGATACCGAGGAAGAGACCCGAAGGTCCGTGTCTGACAAAAAAAAACAAAATGAGTGAAGACCATTTATCGCACCGCACGTGACCGCACTGGCTAAATAGCTCTTACTTGCACCGTAGCGGCGTGAAGACCTGTGTTTGTTACTCACGCCTTTCATCTAATTGAGTGACATTAAACCCGCTCGCTTAGAAAAATGATGTTGCTGCTGCTTCAAGAAGGCATAATGTCGTATTAACTCATCGTTGTTTAACATATAAATGTTGCGTAATATTTTTCTATGAAGCAGTTTGATCTAAAAGAAAGTGGTGAACAAGGGTGAAGCCTTAAAGATGGCCACTTATTACAAACGAAGCATAGGATATCGTTTTACGTTCGTTTGACAAAATCAGGACAGTATAGGAGCCTACTATTGCGGAACTCCGAATTGGATGACTACAAACTGTAATCATGTCTGTTTAACGTAGTCTAGCAGCATTCACTGTAGAGGTAAAGCTATTTCAAAAATTGCGTAAGATTAGTCACAAGGTCCTAACCAAGGATAATAAAGTATTTGTTCTAGGCTCACACTGCATGTAGTTAATTTATATAGTATTCACAAGCAATCCATCACTTTACAACCTTTACTTGACTGTGTACGTAACCAGGTCTGTCCTTCAATTCTCTGTTCTTCGTTCGTTGCATCCTCCAGGTGCAAAATATTTAACAGTCCAAATAGGAACGCCAACCTCTCGCAGATACGCAGAGGAATAGGGCTCGATGAAACTAAAGTGTTCAACTATGCATAGGTAATAAAACAACAAAATTCAACAAAGACAGGATTGCCCTATCCATGTGGAACACAGATACGATTTATCTAACACTGTATCATAAATGTGATTACAGTGAGGCCATTTTTGTGTTAATTACTTCACGGAAGGTACAGCTGTTTGAAGGGACCAGCCTTAAACGCCAAAAATACTTGTAAGTGCCCCAATCAACAAACGGCACTTCTGTCGAGCTAATTTCTTCGTAACATCGTTCGTTCAGAGATTATTGTTGTAGAAAACAAAAAGACTCATTTAAAAAAAGCATTTGCAATTCTTACAAGTTAGGTTTTGATAATTATTATAAAGCTCATAGACACTATACTGAAATCTATAAAGCAGGTCAAAAATCAAACCAAAATCCATATGTATCTAAATACCTATAAGAGCTTCACTGTTTCCAGTTATTTACTTACCAAAAGCATATACGTCAACGGATTCGTCGTAGTGTTCCTCGTACATCTCCGGAGCCATGAATTCGGGGGTGCCAATCACAGACTTGGCGAAACTCCGGTTTTTTAAGGTCGCTAGCCCCAAATCACCGATCTTCACCGATCCAGTAGTGCCTATGACAATTTTTGTTCAATATGAAACGTAAGTATTTTATGTATGAGGTCAAAGGTTTACTAGGTTTTTGAGTTAGGGCAAGCGCAGCTACGTTCAGTTGTAAGCCAACTTCAAAAGCATGCTTTCTCATAGAAACAAATTGGCCATTGTTGGCAATTGCTTGTAGTCGATGTGGCATGGTATCTTCAACTGTTCATTGTTTTTCGTTGTTCAAGTAGCAAATGCGAGGACATCGTTCGGGACGACTTCATGGCTTGACTTCATATTGAAGTTCATTTCCACATAAATAATATTTCTTAACCAGAAGCAAAGGCTTAAATGTACTGAAACTGAATCTAACACCTAACTGATAGTGCAGCGGGCAACGATAGAAAATACCTGTGGATCCATGCCAATGCGAGAACATTATTTGGCGGATGTTACAGAATATGTTACTGGAAGTTCTGCTGAGGAAATTGTTTTTCTTTCGATCATTGCATATAGATTTCCCTGTTCGTACCTAATAACTCGTGAACGAGTTAGCCACTATGAGTATTTATAATTTCCGTCTATATACACATAAGCCGTAGAACCATTGAACTGCAGTGGCCATCTTTTGTAGCTTGTATAACTGTTCTATTTATTTAATCGAGTTGCCGAACGCGGATTGTTCGTCGAGTATTGATTCAACAGACTGATGAAAACGCAAATATGTTCAGTAAAAGGGACGTATTTATGTCATAGTTACTTCGTAAAAAAACGTTAAGTTTTTAAGTAAGGTAAGTAAAAAACTAACCAGTGATAAAAATGTTGTCACATTTAAGGTCTCGGTGTATGATAGGCGGCTGTCTCGAGTGCAGAAACATAAGACCCTTCAAAATCTGGCGACACCAGCTTTTGAGCACTTTGATATTGATCTTTTTAAATCTCCGCAGATACGTTTTAAGGGTGCCCGACGTCATGAGCTCAGTGATGAGTACGACAATCTTGCGTTTGTTTGACGTTGTATCCTCCCAACTATCGAAGAACCGTACAATGTTTGGGTGTTGTAGCCCTTTCAACATTTCCGCCTGAAAAACGTAATTTTAGTGGTAAAAAACCTAATCACTTGGTAAACGAAAAAATGTATACTCTACTCAACCGTTTTCTAAAAATGGCCTCGCTTGATTATTAAACATCTCGAAACAGGATTTACAGTTTTAGATGAAGTCATTTATCATTCGAGACCTAATATTTAGTTTGGTTTAAAAACCTTATTAAGAATTAAGTTAGTAAATTTTAAAACCACATCTAGAACATCCTGAAACAAACGGCTCAATGCACGGCCACTGCTAACTCTCCAATCGAAGACTTCACGCACTTTCTGTCCAATTGAAATTCACACGATACGTAGCGAATACTGATTTCCCCATACCGTGTCAAAACGATATTTTCCGTTCATGAAGATCATTTCTCCTTTGTCTATTTCGGTTCAACTAAACAAACACTCTTCCAACTTGTTTTCCTGAATGGATCTTCTCGAATTCATCGTGTGCGGCTACCTTGGTTTATTCGTTCGCTCTGAAGCACTTACCCATGGCTTGTTTACCCCACTCTCTAATTTAAACTCGCCCTTCAATATAAACGTAACATCGTCGTCTGTCATTTGCTTGATTCAATTCGTTTGAAAACTTCTGCCGCGTAACATTTTGACAAAACCAACCTCAAAAAAGGACGGTGGTTTACTAATTATTTCTAAAGGCAAAAAATTTCTGATCGATCTGCCAGCGTCATAGACTCATGCCTCATAGACAGTTGCATAGACTCATAATAATAGATCTAAATTAGTAAAGCGGCTGTAGTTATTTACGAAGAGATAAAATCGAGAAACAATATCTGAGCGAGACAACGGAGTAGGGACATAGGTGCACAAGTTAATTTGAGGAAACCAGAGGACTATGAGCGAATAGAGTTCTATAGAGAATAAATTCTGCGAACAACTAGCGCATTCGACTGCCTTTTCATTGACAACCGCGGGAAGAACTTTAAGCCCAGAATTGGCATAAGCGTGCGCAAAGCAGATGACACGTGCACGACCGCTGACGCGGAGGGGCGCCTGAAATTTGGGAAGCGGAATCCCACCGCTAAACAGGCTCCCTTTCGAGAAGAACAAGTCTAGGTGTTTCGCTAGCTGGCCTGACTCTTCTAAATAATAGACTATGTGAAAGCGGACGTTCTTTCCCTTCAGTAAAGGCAGTAACCTGTAACAACGACGTCAAGGTGCACATGACTATGATAAAGAAGGATTCTAACAAACCATATTCTATACTGTATAGTAAAGCTTCCATCGCCGTATTCCATCGTATTATCATCGCAGACGGAACATTACTTTAATATTGTAAACCATGCAGATAACCTATTAACATTACGACGGCGTGCATAAGATCTAAAATCTCATAATAATGTCGTTGTGTCGCTGACCTAATGTTAGCAGGGGAACCTGACGATTCTGCGTATTGCCTCGAAGATTACAGACGACGCATCTTGTAATGAGGCATATATACCTCAAAAAACTACGTTCAGCTACGGTCGTCACTGCGGTGGTATACCGACACGTCGCGTTGGACAACAGTCGTATAATTTTAATGTACAGATATTTGTGTATGTCCATAAAGGTCACAAACTGGAGCTTACCTCCTCCTTGAAGCGCTGCCTTTCGGCCTTACTGAGCCTTTCCTGTAGCTCGCACCAAGCAACGGCAACTCCTGTCGAGATGTCCAGGCCCTTGTAGACCGTCTTAAAGCTTCCTCGACCTGTTCGGCGGTAAGGTGTACTACAAATTAACCATTCTAGATCATTACACGCAATATATGCTATTTATTTATGTAAAAGTTGTTTTTACAAATTATACCGTTCAATTGTTATTAAATTGGCACATCTTAAATTAAATCTAAAATTAATCGTAAAATACTCAAGGGAATCTATGCCATTATGGCAGGACGTAAATCTTATCCAATGGGTAATACTAAAAGACGAAAGGTAATTTTGTTCATAGCCTACTTACACTACAGTTGTACCTAGAAATGCATTGAATATACTCACTGTCGATAGTCTTGCTCTTAGGTTTAGGGCAATTTTATATAGTGTTGACAAATTTGACATAGTTACTTTCAGTTTTATCTCCTACCACTTTAGGGTTCCATTTCAATATCTTTTAATGTAACTGGTGAACACTTCTCATCGTTTATAAAGATATATACCGATCTCCTCTTCGAATTTCAGGAAGCGTCCGTCTGGCGAAGTTGCCCGGGCCTTTACGTTGACATCTTCGTTGTCGGTCAGGTTAGCAATTGCTGGCAATTGACTGGGATCGACCACCTTCATGTCGTCATCAGAGAGTAGTTAGATGTTGAATGTATTTATACTCCACTCTAATAATGACTTAATTCAATGACCACCACTTTGCTTGTGAGCACCTTTTCGGCTTTAGCAAAGCGAAGTTGAGCAAAGCGAACTCTTATTCCATAAGAGACATTTTTTTGTATTGGGGGATATCGTTTGCAATCAGCGCCTCAGACTTATTTAGTTCTAACAGAAGGCGTGACGCCATTCACCGAAAGTTCGTCACCCATTCAACACTGACGCTTATCGATCCCGCTATTACGGATAAGGATACAAACGCCTCCATCTGGACGTCAGATCTCATCGTAAAACTAAATCAAAGAAGAATAGCATTTCTTAACAGTATCATGCATTGCGACATCATCAATTAGCTTTCGAATTATCTTTCATCGATATATATATATATATACGAGACCTTTCACACAGTTAGTTGACAGGTCAACAGGTGTACAGCGTTGATACTGACATAATTCAAATTGCCATCGTTTCTACCTTAAGCTAATATAGCTTACCTGCTTGTCCATCACGGTATGTAATGTAACCATGTCCATAGCCAAACCTGGAAGACCTGGCAGAACTTCTCCTGACTCCTCGTCTCCGACACAACCCAAAAGCCTAACGAGAAAGTTTATCGCAAACAATAATAAACAGATATTTAACTCTGTGTTCTGCGAATTATATATGACAAAACTAATAAACTAAAAATCGTTCTTAAAAGCTATCACAGTAGTACAAGAACAACGCTGCCTGCAATTTGCATATCACAGCTGGCGCTGAGTTGCTTTATATGATGATTTATGAAGTACTATGGGATCGGACGGTGTAATTATATTTTCTAACTTAAAACACGTGTCTACCTGCAACCTCTAAGACACTTAAAGATCAGTTTTTCTTTAGGTTTTTATGTAGAATAGCTGCAGAAATAGAAAGAATTCACTAAAGTTATACAACGTCCCTCGATAGAGAACGAAGACTTAAAATTTCGAAGTTTGGGTAGCCAAAACACAAAGAAGACAGAATTTTTTCTAAATAGGCCACCTACATTTGTGTTATGCAGTGACACGGATGTATAAACGTCTTCAATATTAAAGATAGCTTCTATTCGTATCTATGTAATCTGTTTGCATGGAGCTTTCGTTTGGAACCTGCTTCAAATCTCTACAAAAATGAACAACCAGTTATTTAGGTCGTTTTATCAAGCGTTAAACCTTAAAAACGATTTGTGGAGTAATGGCTTCTCTTGTTTTTTAAAAACTTCCTTTTCCCACTTACCACGCGAAAAGAAAATCTAAGAGAACCTTCCACCTGGTACATTTGTATTTTCGTGGAAAATTTTTGTGGAAAAGGATGTATTTCCGACACCTTCTGAATTATATATTTCGACGAGATCAGGTGCCTGAAAATAGTTTGCCAACTTTGAAAGGAGTATCCGGTGAAAACGTTTCCTAAGATTACTAATTATTTATGAACACGGGGTCATAGCTTTGAAGACATCTATTATTTCTTACAATACATAACTGAAAGAACATTTTATTTTTATGTTTACGTTCCTGCGTTACGCTATGTTATTTGAGTAACGGATCGTGCCAATTTAATATCAGGACTGCACAGATCATTGTTTAGAATAGTATCGAATTCATCGCAAAATTAGCCGAAATAGCAAGGTCAGTGTCAACAGCCTAAAGCAACAGACGTTTATAAACAAGACTTGCCTACAAAACCTTATATTCATCACGTCGTCGTTGTCGTTATCGTCTACCCAAAGTTTTTCGCTTTCATGCTGTGGAAAGAGGTGCCCTCGATGCACAGAAACAAACACACTTCAAAGGGAAAGCACCAAATGCTTCTATTCCAGAATCGAGCGCTCAATGCTGTTACCATAAATTATACTACAAGGGTTAAAGAGCTGCACAGCTTCTGCTAGCCGCGACACGTGAAGGGGTCTGCTGCCTGTTAGGTCTTCTCTCGGAGGCATAATAGTAACAGTATTAATAGAGTGGCAACAGTGGATTGAACTCGAGACCGCCAGGAAAAATCGAAGCGACCGCATTCGAGGCCTTACCTACCTTCCTTTAACTGCCCAACCTCTCCATTCTACCTGTCTGTGATCCTGAGATCGCTTGCCGCATCTAACCGCGGCATAGAACTAACCCTGACAATTAGTTGTACGACCGATTGAAAGAACCAGGAACCCGATAACGCGAACCGTACTCGCCAAGAAATGGCAGTTTGTCTAAGAAGCAACAGCGCTAGACAATGTAGGTAGCAGCAAGTACTATACTTTGAAAGCATTGTCTAAAGTCTACGCCACTGGACGCGGAACGCATCTGTCTGCTGCATTAATTTATACTTGCTAACATTGCAAATAGGTCCTTGGCTTACACCTCCTACTTTATCTCATATAGATTAATAGCGCTGTACAATAGCCCTCAGGTTGTGTGATTCACATGAATATCCGGAATTGCTCCTCTTCGCGCATTTCTTGCGGGGCCTACACTTCGACGACGGTTCTCCTCGACGTGATGCCGGAACTAGCAACGGATCAACCGAGGCCAATAGGCACATGTCAACACAAGCAACCCTGCTCATACACGCACGAAGTAGGCTTTCCGAATAACTCCAAGAACAGCTGCTCATAAGAAATTATACAAAGCAGTATTTTTACCAGTATCTACTGGCTGGCCAAGACCGCCTACTTCTAACACCGGTTTCACAATAAAAAATCCAGGTACATGGACAGCAAAACTTGGACTTGCTAGTTTGCTTACCTATTTACAATGCTCTACGCGGGACGAAATAGAGACAATGAGTGAGTAATTGGTTGCCTGCTATTGTCGCTACATTTGCGACGGTGTGTCGATATCGGACGCGCTGGACGTTAGACATTGGAAGATGATCCGTTACGCGATGCGGGCGTACCGCTGTCGCTAACCGCTCTGCAGCATTCTGTACAAGTTGTGGCCATCTTCCCTCGCTCCTGCTCGTTGACTGGAAGACCGCGTCCGTTAACTCAATCGTACGCATTGCGTCGTACGAGCAGCAACAATGATTTACTGGTAACATCCCCTAATCAGAGCTCATCGAGGAGATCCACCAGCGGGCATCGCTACCGGCACCGCTGAACGCGTGGAGAGTCTTCCACAAGATGGCCGATAGCCAACAATGAATATGTTGAAAATCAATTGTTGATATAATTGTCGGAAACGAAAGTTACTTCGGAGCGAGCATAACACTTCATCTACATTTTACGTCCCTACAAATCGTCCCAATGTCCTTGACCATAAGACCCGAGTGTGATATTATTTATCGCGAATAATTCATAAGCTTTGGCACTGTTTTGGAACTATGTTACCCCATCGTCTCTTCCGAAAATGGCTTGAGGCTTGATGGTACAGTTTCATGGTACACACTTAGACAATTCAATAGTTTTATTAATACAGCAAGTGGTGGGGTACTATTGATGACGAAAACTGACATATGTATCCTGAGAGCCTGAATGAGGTCTTTAGTCTATGGGTGTAAGGGTACAGAAATGGAACACGTCAGAGAAAATTCTAAATTTATTTATTTATTTCTTCCTGTCACTGACAATTTACAACGGATGTTTTTCAGATTAAATCGAATACTCCCGTCTATGCTATTATGACATTAAATTAAATAATTAATTAGAAAATTATCACAATATCTGTTTCGATTTTAGAGAAGCCCGTGTTTGATTTGTTTGCTGAAAATTAAAGTATGGAAAATGAGACATGAGACTTTACACATCTGTATAACTTCTATAATTACAAAAAATGTGCTCCACACTGTGGATTAATCAAAATCTCTGCTAGGCAGACCTCAGAGGTCCAGTGGGAAGATTCCTTTACATCGAAGATGTATGACGATAATCGAATGTACGTTTCTAAAACCGACCGTACCACAACGATCTGAACACAACGACCATCGCATGACTCTAAACCTACTCGTTCAGCAAAATACTTCTCGGAACAAATAAAAGCACGTTAATAATTACAATGAAAATACTAATCTGAGTAATGCCCTTGTATGCTGTAATCAGACACAATCCTCCTAACATTTCTGTATAACTGAGGAAGACAATAATATTGAACTTTGCCTCACAAGAATCAATCGTCACTTCCTCAATGAGCATTCCTAAAATCTTCGAGATGAACGCACTGCATAAGCATTGCCTTAATAAAGACCACAAAAAAAAGAAACTATTTTATAGCAAAGCTGGTTTGAACTGACAGAATAAACGGGTAAACTGCTTATAGGAAACATATATTTCTGCAGAACTAATATACCTACTTTTTGATTTAGACAAAAAGAGCTTTATAACTTTATATAACAGCGAATGTGTACTGACAACTTTTTTTTTTCAAATACCATGTTTAGCTAAGGGGACTACTTACCGATAAAAATAAATTAAATCTCAGCAGCTTATCGTAAGTTATCAAGGTTGGAGTAAGAGGATACTTGATGGCCAGTAAAATTTGTTTTTTTAGATTAAAAGATAAAAAAAAAAAATATTATTTTTCGTTAATATACATTATGCCCTTTTCTCTCTAATCAGATATAGAATATCCGTATGCAAAACTGTGTTATTCTTTACAGTGCCAGGAGAACATTTCGTCGTTCCGTTTATAACGTTATCAGCAACCAAATTAATCCAGTATGAAATCCGTATGGTAGCGCAGGCCCCGTTAGGTTTAACACGTCTCAGTCGTTTGATGGATACTGATCCGTCGGCAAGATTCGTCCGGCGGGAGCAGGCCAATGTGAGCTTGAAGGCTCCGCTTCTTTCGAAGCTATGCAGATAAAACTAGAAGCTCGTAACACTAATCCGTTCCAAACTTAAATAGAACTACCTTATGACATATTCAAGTACTTGCTAGAAGGCTAGAAAAAGGCTACGACAATTGGTATTGGGCAGTGTTGGGAATGTTTTGCAATATGTGGGATACGGAACTGCCAAATGGATGCATCTAAAATAGCCTTTCCAATATTTCCACACACAAGCTTTTTACAGAGCTATATTCCCTATCGTATAGGTGCTGGGTTTCCTATGAAAAAATATAGGCCGTTCTATCCGATTAGCTACATATTTCACTGAGCCTGACAAACTGCCTGTCCTACTTGATCCTGTTTAAACTGACCAGTATCATTATATTTAATGTTTGTCAATTTGCCGAGAACGGCTCATTAGCCAAACGCTTCGTATCTTTGCAGGACAACTTCTTGAAGTTATTCTATAAAATTCGTTTCAACAAAATCTTTTCGAAGCGCCTACAATGAAGATACTGTATAAACTCTTATATTTATTTAATGTTGCCCCCAAGCCTCAGAAGGCTGTAGGACTACGTAGAAGAACCAGGGTAATAGCCATAGCCCAAGGAACTAGTCATCTAAATTTGCTTTCTTAAACAAAGCCAAACATTTTCAGGTCGCTATTGAGAAAAATTACACATTAAATTCTACCCGTATTATTTTTGCCAAATCGTTTTATCGTATACACACTGCAGTCCTTTGTTCCTTGTTCTCTAACTATATATATATATATATATATATATATATATATTCGAATGGCCGCCACCTGATTACAAAAATTAATCCGAAACACGTTAACATTAGTGTTGTAGATTAATTTTGCCATAGAGGAATATCTATGGCTAGGAATAGCTATGCGCCTGAAGCTCAACGATCTTACGAGGCCAGATTTTATAACGAAATTTATGCCAAACGTAGCTGTGTGGTACTGAAGAGGCAAGGTGAACGTGTAAATATATAGTTTTCACATACTTCGTCTTATTATAATCAGAACATTTATCCTAATAGACAGAATAGTATCATAGGAGTACGAAACGCAAGAACATTAGATGAGAGTGTTATTTCCCGCATGGTTTTTACGAAAAAAAAAAAAAAAGGTCAGTTTTACGATGGAAGCTTATATTCGAACGGATAACTTCTCTTCGTTTCCCGGACGGCTCATTCATTTTTCATATCGAAAATTTTAGCCTCCGAGTGATTGTCTAACAAAAATGACTAATACAAGTGTCTGCAGCTTTATGTCTCTTGGCCTGCATAAACCTTCATATATTTGGTTCATCGTACCCGTGCGCTCTGCGCCAATCAGGCTGAATGGGGCGCGCTTGGTTTAAATGTGCCCGTTTGTCGAGCAATCTATATAACAGACGCACATACCCATATCATGCTTACAACTTCCTTAGGTGCTGTAAATGAGATCACTGTGTAACCAGATAAAAGCTTGTACATCGCACGAAATACTCAAAGCGTCATGTGTTTTGTCTAATTGCACCATCAATCTATATTTCAAACCTAAATAAATTCGAAGAACCATTTACCATGAACGCATAACAGTTACGAAATTGGTACGGTAAAAAGTCAAGTAACATAATCTGGATTTCATTGGACATCGCTCGACAAAAGCGGCGTTATCATGAAAATTCAGTGAATAAGGAGAGCTGCAAAAATATTAGTATATAGCGAAACCTGGACCTGCCGTTTCAACAGAATCGCACGCGGTCAACATCAGGTGAATCTATTTACTTAACGATTGGATCAATTTCTGAATCAAAGGCATCAGAGTCCAGGGTCAGATAGAGTTTCTAACTGTAAACATCCCAAGGAAAGCCGAAAGGCTAGAGATTGCGGGATACGTCAGACCGAACTGTCCGATATATGTTAGACAAAATGTTGATATTGATCTGTGAACAAAAGTTCTCCCTTTCTATTCACTTATCATTCAGCAATATAGTCGAAAAGACGGGTCCGCCGCTAGGCAGATCTGGTACTGGTGATAACGTTAACCACACACAATTCAAATTACCCAATACCACCAATGCGACACAGTAACAAGATTAGGACATACACCATATTAGTCCTAATGCGTTTCTCGCAATACATGTAACCGAAACTATAGTCAATATTATTATTTCTGCTACTGCAGTTACTACTAACCTGTTATTACGAGCTCCATTGCTGCTTCCGTGATGTAGATTATTCGTTTCGTCATTTCCATTACTGCTGCCATTTGTGGCGTTTAATCCGTCTGCCTGAGTGCTTTCATCCTGCATTTGGTGACTATTGCTACCGGGGCCGCTGCGTGGACAGGCTGCGAGCAAGCCCTCATCGCGCATGCGAACTTTTCGCGGGGATACCGCTCCTGGACGAGAGCCATCGCCGGAGACCATCAGCCGGGAGCTAGATGGCGTACGGCGTTTTTCTGGCGACGTCGGACTTCTGACTTCGGTAGGTGTTGGTGTCGTTTCACGGGGCGACCTCCTCTCCTGCGAGGAGACCAGCCGCCGGGGCGGAGGCCTCGGCGCCCCCGATCCGCCCAGGGAGGTCTTCTGCGGGCGAAGGATGGAAACCCTTTTGCGTGGCTGTTGATGTTGGTGCTGGCCACCCTCAGGTGTCATGTGCCCCTGATTCGTGCGCAGCGAACTTCGGACTGGTGCTGGCGGAGGCGGCGAAGGTGATAGCGCCTCCTTGTCAGGCGAACGACGCATCATTATTTGTGGATCAATTCGCTCGATAAAATGCTTACTGCTTGACGATGGGATCGCGGTGCTTACAGATAATTGGTTACCATTAAATCGACTTTTCACCTTTAGGATTGAACAGACGGTAACAAAATGTTTTGACCCTCCAACTAAAAGTACACCGCGACCTACACGCACCAGATCACTCACAGTTACAAGATGGTTCTATCAAATCTGGTTCATCCACTGAACGCACACCAGCACGAGGGCGCACGATACCGGCTTAAGAGGTTGGCACAGGCGTTGATTGACTTCTGTTAGTGAGAACGGGCGCAGTTTTCTCCCTTGCAAAAACAAGATGATTTAGCAAAAACCTTCCAGCCTCTGACAGGGAATTCCAAATAATAGTTAAGCGTATAGCCAGGATTCTTGTTAGCAATTATTACCGGCGGTGAAAACGATTCGTATAAATATCGATGTATAAAGGGTAACGTCGCCTAACGACGCCCATTGCGTGTTTGTTGTTGTGGGCGACTATATGTTGTTATTGTTATTACTGTGGTGTTATGATTCTTGGTGACATAGGTGGTAGAACAATGGCGGTTAATAATAGTAACCGTAGCAGTAATAGCAATTGAAATAGTTCAAATGCATTGAGCTTCTGTTGATGCCGATAATTACCACATCCATCTGTTCATTGTGGGCTCATTTTTTAGCTGCTATCGCTTCTGCTTCTTACAGTTCTTTCTCGACGTCGAGTTCGTTCGCGGGTATATATATATATGTATATATATGTTTGCGCGCTGTATTTAAGGCTGAGCAGTGAAATACAATAAAGCAGCCACAAGTCCTGAGTCGTTCTTTCTTTTCCCTCCAATTTCACTTTTGAGAAAAACTCCTGGTGTCGACAGTACGTCCTTCTGCTTCTAGTAGTATATCTGCAAAAAGAAACCCGAAAAGATCGTTAGCAAGTACACGCTGTGATAAGAAATAATCGACAACAAGGCACGCAAGCGTACACACGCATATGTGCCCCTTCAAAAAGTTCCCTAAAAAATTGTGTATCGTCGATTTCCCAGACTCATAACCCGTAATATTAAAGTATACTTTTACTAGTGTTATATCCATCGAAACTATGCGCAATCATATACATTTCGGTACTCTATTTTCGTTTAATATTTTCCTGCTATTTTTTTCTCTGTGTCATCACGGTTGGCATGTTTGATGCTGCTTCGACTTCAGTGCGACATCGGTCAGCTAAGAATCAGTCGCCGTAACTGGTAGATAACCTCCTATGACGGGGTGACACCAAGGGAACGTTATTAGTGTTCCTTGAAACTTCTTGTGGAAGCTGAAACATCGTTCCGCTATAAACTCAACAATATACCAATTCAACTGCTAGATAGACTTGGAAATACGAAACGAGGTGACGCTAGACGCACCTCACCCGTTTTAGCATTGTTTGTGTAAAAACGTGCAAAAAAACGTAATGTCTTCTAAAAAATGACCAGTAGCTTACTTTTCGCTTTGAGAAGAACTATAAAAGTAAACGAGGTAATATTAAACCTTATTATTAGTATTAAAATTATCATTGTGTGTATTTTCCATAGGTGATATTCACCGAAATGTGATATCCAAAAGTCAGAAGCACACTGCAGTACAAAATAGACTTCTTGAACCTTTCCACAGCCCTCATCGACAAACAGACCTCTAGTCCGTTCGACATATGCGACAAGACGCCGACGAGTACGCATTGGAGAAGCGACAATGGCAAGGGCAGCGTCAGTGCTAGAAAACGTCGATGCCGGCTCGACCAATTAGTGCTAAGGGCAATAATTAGAATCATGGCAATTCAGCACATCGCACACAAATCGACGCGAATACACGATCGCTTAACGTAGTACAAGAACACATTTGCCCACTCAGGTACATAAAGCCCTTGGCTTTCTCTACGGCAGATAGCAGCGCTAAGATAGCGCGCGTGGCACAACAGTCCTAGACGAAGTTCGATAAACATCGACCAACGGCACAAACGAACTGGAGACAACACCATGCCATTCACATTGCCAAAGGTGGATCATAAGCGGCAGACTCCCCAGGCAGAAACCAGTTGCTGGGCTAGCTTCAATTTATTAGTTTATGATTTGTCAACAGCCAGTTGCCTCGTTGAGACAGTTCAGCAGACAGACATGTTTGCGGCATAGTCTGAACTTCTTGCAAGCGTTGCTCTTACTATTATTGAAACTGTTCTGTTATTATTGTGACTGCTGCTTCTGTTGGCGCCATAGTCGCCGCTGCTGCTGCTGTCGTTACTGCCACTTAGATTACGTCGACAATTCCCTTCCTCGACTGCACGCGCGACCAAGCGCGTCTCACGTTCTTCCAGCGTCCCTTGCCCGCTACTGCCCTTCCGAAAACGACACAACTCAGACCGTCCAGCGTCTCGCGTCCTCGACTGACACAAACGTTGCGCCACTAGTCTGGCTGCTAGCTGGTAATGGAGGATAGGCAGCGCCTGGAAAAAACGCTTGAGTTGCTCGATCAACGACGCTAACAACGATTTTAGGCTTCTAGACAGCTTATGCGTGACAGACAGGCCAAACTGCTTAGATAAAAAAAAAAAGCGGCGGCGTTTCACTATCGCTTTAGGGCCATATGTACAATCGAAACCTGTTTGCCTGCAACAGCAACAACGACGGCGGCGGCAGCAGCAGCAGCAGCAGAGGTGTCGAATGCCATTTCATCGATAGCCCCAATGCCCGTTGGCCTGCTCTGCGCAAAGCCGTTTCTACTGGTGTTGGGGCTGTCAGCGTGAAAGCTCGCGCTCGCGCAGATATGCTGCTCGTGAAGGCAACAGTGATGGCGACGCCGGCGTCAATTGAGTCGAGTAGAGGATGAAGAGACGACACGGCAAGATTACCGTAGTCGTCACTCTTATGGGGCTGCCGCCGCCTGATGGTTTAAGCAACGAAGGAAGCGAGGAAAGATAATGCAGTGGCGTATTGCCACTACCAAGCGTCTAATGGCGCCGATGGCTGCTGGCGTTTGTTCAGGTGTATGAGTACCGGGGCGGCTCGTGACCATTCGGCGCCACTGAGACGCTGCATAGAGCAAACCTAGGCAGGTTTGTAAGGGTTGCTAGGTCTTTTCGGTCTGACCTATAGCACTAGCAGTAGTAGTCGAAGTGACAGATGTTGCTCACAACAACTCTACCAACAGCACGATAAACCGGCATTAATTAGCGTCAACGTGAGCCCCCGTAAACAACCAGTGTAACTAGACGGAGTATTTTAGCCATGAAATAGCTATCATCGGAAACAGGACTAAAGCATTAGACTTCTTCTATCCCAGTCGAAAAGTCAACGTCCACGTAAACCTTGATTCAGTCTGGCTATGCAGCCTGCAGTCCCAATGGTGTGCCAATGGTATAGTTGTTCGGGAATATTGTCAGCATCAAAACTTAGGTTTACTTTTCGGTATCTGTTATCGTTGCTGTCTTTGGCCGGCTTTGTGGAAGCCGTGTCAGCTGGCCAGAAAGCTACGAGGGTCCTAGCCGTAGGACCACTGATAGGCAATGAGCGTGTTCGTGTTAATGGACGCCAATATCGCCGCTATAGAAACGCCAGCAGTACTAGAGCTCAATAATGACTCAACGCATTGATGATAGCTGCCCCACTGCTGGAGGAGTTTCTGCGTTTTCTTTCTACCGCTATTATAACTAGTTCAATTGCGGCCACTAATGCCGCTACCTAACATATGACATCATCCCTGTTCTTTGTACACGTACTATCTACCTAGAAGTACCAGTGCTTGAACTTCCCTGCTAGCGTTCCTGCCTTCTTGCTAGAGTGATTTCTATCTCCTCTTCCCTCCATCAAATCGTCTGTTTCCCAAAACTACACTGATTGGTTACAGCAAATGACCAACGCAGCCGGCCTCGCCAAGCCCATGTTCGTTTCTCGGCCTGTCTCGCTGTTTACCTGTGTGGAATACAGCGCGCACGATAAACTATATTCTTTCTATTGTACAATCAGATGAGCATAATGAAAAAAGTCATACATGAACGTGTCTCATCAGAGCACTGGCTGGTCTCTCTGCCGCTGGCGTCGTCGCTCTATTTTGTTAGAATTAAGTGAACAGGAGAGAGAAAACGCGATAAGCTGGTGTGAACGAATCGGGCGGAAAGAAGCGAGGAACTCATTGACGCAGAGGATTGTGCGCAGGTTGAATGACAACGATAGCGCTATTCAGATACTCATATACAGCATATATATATATACGGACAACGCTACATAGAGATGCAGACGACACCGCAAAACACATCCAATCAGTCATCCAAATAACACTGCACAGTGCACATGATAAATGATTGGCAGTATAGGAAATCAACACAAAAAGAAGGCAAACACATATCCAGTCAATACATTGTGAAACAACAACGAATAACACGAGCTCGTCGCCATAAACGTACACTAACGACGACCACCGCTACCGCTGTTGCTACGGAGAGTTTTTGACCACAAGTGATTTTACATCGAATTAATGTCTCAAACTCTGAAGTGGCACTCCAGAACCTTACTTTGTAATTTCTTTATTATGAAAGCTCTGCCAGAAGCATAGTCGTAGTTATTACCTCAGAGCGTCCGACGCTATCGGGTAGTTGTCTCGATCCTATTCTGCTATGACAATCGTCTGCGGCATGGAATTAGCACGGGGGTGGCGGTCTCTATCGACCCTCCAGCGCCCAGTGGTATGTGGCCCTGTTCTCTGGACGCCGTACGACCTAAACGTGTGCAAAGAGGCCTGGCTAAGTTTGTGCACTTACGTATTTCCTACTCTGGCTAGTTTTTTTTATTCTGCCTCTCATTTATATTCCATTCCATGTTTCACAGAAGACCGAAAACCGTATGTCCGTTACACTATCGTCTCACGCAAATGCGAGGCTTGGTCTAATGTCATCGGCATAAGATATCGCCACGGACGATCAAGGCGCTATGGAGTGATGAGACACGCAAAGACGTGACGAACGGTCCCGGACAATGAAGACGAGAATCAAACGAAACAAAGCAAAGAAGAAACCTCTGCTCTACCTTTCGGGACGATAATGACCTTTAACAAAAACTGCATGCGCGGCACAAGTCACGTCTACCATCTGGAATTTGTAATTCTGTTCACGGTTCGAAAGACATTTGAAGGCTAGCTCCTGCTTATATCACAGAGAATTGGTAAATATGAAAAAAGTAGATCTCTCTATACTGGATCTAGATGGTCTATGACCCTTGATAAGTACTGCACACCCTCGCTCCAAAAATATTCATGAGAAACAAAAAACAAACACCTGATATATTTTGTCATTTGTACGAGCGTTTCTACGACATGTGCAGATCCAATATATATATTATTGGATTTTAGGATAGCATACTGTGTATATGCTGATGGCCACATGTAGATACACACACGATTGCAGTCTGAATAAGCGGAGTAATTAGATACTTTGATGAGCTTAAGCAACAACAGTTTCATTCATTTTAATAATAAAATTACTAACTTTTTATTTTATATGTTAAACATTATAAATAGTTGAAGATTCATTCAGGATTCCTAGGACAATATACACAAAAAAATTAAGCGTGTACGGCAGCCCGTCTATCTACTTTGTTTCGAACACACGTTTCTAACGCACACGTTACGCATCAACAAGATCAATGATGTTTCTTTTGTTTAGTTTTCTTTATTTACACAAATTACATAGTGTAATCTGTAAGTTTTGCGACAACATCATATTAACAAACAACAGTTTGTCATAAAACCTTATCAATGCCATCATAATCATATATCAATGGTCATTTCACGCTTTCGATCTGATATTTTAAGTGGTTCCATGACTAAAGGTGTGCATTCGTTACCAGCCTCATTACACATATCCGACAGGCGCATG